AGTTGTCAGGAACACTGCCAATTTGTAAATCATATTTCTGTCTTCCACACATTCTATATATAATCACAGATAACTGGTAATATTTATAAAACTGGAAACATGTTTTAGTTGCATTTTAATTTAGCATATGTCATAGATTTGATGGCACATTGAATGTAATCTGTTTTACTGATTTATTGTTGCTTGTCTAGTCTTTACCCTGCAGAAACATTGACATAAATTACAAATTTTAATTATATACAGAATAAAAACCCCTGTTATGATTGGCAGGTACACAGATAGAGCCTCATGTAACATTTACTTTCTGGTTAGGTTAAGTGGAAAATAAATTCTAATACAAGCAAATATTCAATACTCTAAAATAGGACAGTAAACTTCCTGGAAACGGTTATATTCACAGAAAGATGATGTTTGGATTCTAGGTTTTGGGGTTTTTTAGAGCACATTTTGGAGTTGAACTGTTTATTAACACAACTTTTTGAACAGATAATCAAAGAAATACATTGTCTTTGTTATCTCTGTAATCTTGAGATATTTAGTAGGTAACCAACGGATGTACCTCTGAAACCATCCTTTATGTGTGCCCTGGTTTGTGGTGCAGAGTGGAGCAGCCTGGCAAGCCATGATTTGCAGCAGTCAATGAACAACGTTGATGTTCATTGCAAAAATCCATGTTAAGCTGTGTCTGAGTGTCCTCGGGAGTATAAAGATAGGAGGAAGGAATTTGAAATATAGTGATTTGGAAATTTCAGTGGCAAAGCATGTATTGAGTTGTCAGGTTTAAGTACACAACCAACCATTTTTATGTGGCAGGGGAGGGCATGGGGAAGGATGACAGAGGTGTCTTGTTTTAGAAGAGCTCAGTTAAGCAGAAGAGCATCCTTTTTTCTAGGAAATATTAAAGTTGTTTTTACATTTAACCCCCCCCTCCCAGTTTCCTCTGCCCGCCTGCATTGCTCGCTACTCATCCCTCCTGCCACCTCCTTGCATCTGTGTCATGTTCTTTTTGCTGAGTTCTCTCCTCAAAGTTTTTTTGTTTGTTGTCTGTTTTTGGGGGGCAGAAGCACAAATAACGAATCAACAAATGAGCAGTTGACGTGTTTGTTGTCTTCTGTGATTTAGTTCTTATATTTAGATTCCATCATGTTTAGAGCTTTTAACCTTCAGCTATTTAAAGCTATACCTGAGATCGAAATTCTTAAGGTGGAAATCCTTTTACTTCATTGCATAAGCAACACTTGGCATTTCTTAGCAGGTTAGATGTAGATGTCCTGTCCTTCCTTTCTGTATGCTGTTCAGGAGGACAGTACAGCTTGGAGTGCTCTGTAACTCCTGTTGTAAAATGAGTTGTGTTCTGCGTGTAGGTGTTACGAGTGGCATAAACTCCAATCTTTGCAGCTATAAAAGAGGAGTGAAATGAAAGGAAAATTCTGTGCTAGAGGACACAGTTCCCATTTCCTTCTTTTAAGTTCTTTAAAGAATGATTTTTTTTTTTTCCTCCCAGCTTATGATATGGAATACCTTTGCAACTCCCCCACCTTCTGAAAAAGAGAAAAGTCAGAGGATAATGGCAAAGAAGTTAGAGGCAGTGAAAAATAACAGATTTTCTGTTCACCACTGGAGGATTATTATGAATTAGTTTAAGAAACTCTTTGCAAGGAATAGTTTTCTGCAAGTGGCATCAATCTCATTTCCTGGACATATTAGTGTGTGAATTGCAATACAAGAGATAGTAATTCCAGACAACATACATGAGCTTTGCGGAGGACGAGACACTCATACCCAGGGTTTGCCATCTGGTCCATTTCTCAGCTGCTTTTCAAAATGTTGTCAAATGCTCTCAGAGTTTACACATCATAAATCTGTCACTAAAATAAGTAAGTGCCCAGGGCTCCCTGACTTGTGTTTCAGAAGTGCTAGGCTCTGCTCTTTTGAGGAATGGCAGTGTCAGAGCAGCGTGGCTCTTCCTCAGAGGGCTTAAGACTAGGCAGTGGTGAGACAAGTTCTCAGACTGTCTGTGCCATTTATGCAGCTGACTGCCCCAACCAGCACCCTTCCTGCCTTTTCCAGCCATCTCTCCAGGTCCTTGGGCAGAACTGCAGGCACCAGGAGTGATGAAGATGCTGTGCTCATTGAAGCAAAAGCCTGCTGTGAATGAAGAGTTCTTTGTGTCTTGGTGATATGTCAGAAAGGGATGTTTAGACAGGGCTGGTGTGTGTGCGTATCTGTTTCCAGAGCAGTGTGGGAGACACTTGAGCTGCAGAACTTCATTGATTTTTAATGAGAGTCATGTAGCAAAAATCCTGCACTGTTTTCAAAGCATGGAGCAGAGGCTGGTGTCACCAGAGTGCAATATCCCTCTGCTACCTTTTCTTCTTGAACACTTTCCTTGGCCTTATCTTCAGGAAAAGTAAAAAATTCCATAGGGAGTTTCACTTGTGGTATCAACTGACATTTGTAGCAGCCAGCCCCTTTTTCCTGTGCGTGTTACTCTCTAAATCAACCAAGATCATTAACTCCTCTCTCTTACTGGGATTCCTGGCTGTCAGCACATAACCCATCTCCTTTGTCATCCATCTGACAAGAGCCATTGTCAACTTCCATTTATAATTTTCTAAAAAGAGAAATTGTAGCTATGAGTAAATTCGCAAAACACCAGATCTGTGCCAAGAACTGAGCAGTTATATTTCATAGGACAATTTCGACATTCCCATCCATTCATTTGGGCCTTTCTGTCTCCAGGGTCTGTCTGTGTGGGAATGAGAGTACCTCCCATTGCTGTTATTTCAATTCTCAGAAGACCTGTCTCTTGCGTTACTTAAAGGAGCCTTGGTCATGAAGTGGTTTAATCTCAAGATGCAGATGTCAGTTTAAAACCTTCTGCAAAATGGAGTTGTTAATAAATAAATAATTAAAATACTGTGAGTTTCTGTAACAGTGGGTCTCAAGATTACTAGTGCTAGGGAATAAAGTCTTGCCAGTGTGAGGGAGCAGAGGAAGCACTGAGTCTGTGTAAAGGTTGAAATAAATCTGTACTACTTCTAACTCTAGCTTCCTCCTTTCAAATGTGCCTTCCAGTTTTGCTGTTATCTGAGCATCCCACAGTATATTTATTCTACAGTTAACTCCTACTAGTAGAAAAATACAGTTAAATATGTGCAAACCTGTTGCATGCTGAAGAGCTGTCTGTCTAAAGAACTCTGTAAAGCAGATCTGTGAATCAATACTAGGACAAAGAAAGTTCCTTGATTTAGTAGCTCAGTGTGTCTGGATTAGCAGCTATTATAGTCACTGTAAGTTAATGCAAGCTTCAGCAGGACTTGAACTTCAGCCCACATCTCTCCACTCTCTGACAGGCCACGTAACTTGAGCCTAAAAACCACCAGTTAATTTGATCTAGAGGCTGTGTGTGGACATAAGTCAGTTGAGGAGCAGTGCTTGTATTACAGGTTGTGTGACCAACTCAGGCAAGGTGAGCCCCAGCACTACTCGGGATCATACCTGAAACTGGAGTATGCCAGTACCCAGCAAGATAGCATGGCACAAAGATCTTCAATGTCAATATTTTGTGTGGTGAAGGGGCACTTGCTGAGGTTAATGTGCTGATGTGGAGAAGCAAAAGACAAATCAGACCACAGAGTAAGCCTCGTTGGAGCCCATGACAGGCATTTGGGGATTGTAATCACTTAATCTTGGATGAGCAACAACTGTAACAGGCTGTCTTTGCCCTTAGCTGCGGGAACTATGGATTGAAGCAATTTAGCTGTGTTCAGACCACAGTGCTGTGCAGGCTGTCTGGTGGTACTCAGACTCATTATGGTGTCTCATGCAAAATGATGCAGTTCAGCAGCAGTTTGCCATTTAAATGTAGGTCTTTAAATAACATGTTGAAGCGAAATAGAACATAGTGAGAAAGTGAAATATTCCAGGCAATCAAAAAATGTGGGTCTTAAACACCATATTAGGTATCAAGATGAAATTACCAGCCTTAGTAAAGGTTTCTTTAATGTATTTTTATTCAATTGTGGCTGACTATAAAATACTACTGGTCTGAAAGATGATTAATTGTGAGTTGACAGTGGTTACCCCTATTGCTAAACTGGTTAATATTGTAAGGTGCCAAGTTTTCCCACTGCTGTTTTTCTGTGGGCAGTGTTTAACTGAGCTGTTGTTCATTGAATCAGGTGAAGCAGAGTCTCTTAGGAGCTCTTCCAGAGCAGAGATGTTATTCATCTCGATGTTAATTTCTCCAGTCAAAACATGTACCCCAATCTTCCAAACATAATCTGGGGAAGAATTCCTGTTAAACTCCTGCTGTTTTCTTGGCCTCTTTCTCCACAATTCAAACACTGAACTGAATGTCAGAAAGTCTTGGTTCTGCAAGTCACATGCCATTGGGAAAGTTACTTACTCTCTGTAAATTAATTTTCTCCTTCATAAAATTATTGTACATAAAAATATGGACAGCTGTGGCTAGTGAATTTCCCTGCAATTTCTGGATACAGTCATCATGCACAGAGCTGTAGGTGCTTCTCCACATCTGGTGGTTGACCTTGACTGGCTGCTGTCTGCCCACCCAGCCATGTTCTTACTGTCACAGTTCAACAGGGAGAGAGTGGGAGAAAAAAATAAGATGAAAACTGCTTGTGGATTGAGATGAAGACAGGAAGATCATACAGTAACTACCATCACAGCCAAAACCCACTCAACACAATTTGTTGCCAATGATAAGACATTTGGATAAACAACCCCACCTTCTCCCCAGTCCCTACTCTTCAGTCTCAACTTCACACCTGCATTCTTAACCCCTCTGCTTTGCCCCCCCCCAGCCCTGCACAGGTGAAGACCAGAGAACAGCATCTACAATAACATGCTCACAACTCCTTTTTAATTTGCATCGGTTCTGGCATTTTCCTATGGTATTGCAGGCTTGTGCCTTTCTGTGAATGCTTCTAAGTTTACAAAGCATGTTTTCTTTTCTTTCTACTTTTTTTTAAAAGGAATTAGCTAAGAGGACTCCCTCCAAGCATCCTGATCATCCAGCTGTCCAGAACGCATTGCAGGCCATGAAGACGGTCTGCACAAATATCAATGAGACCAAGAGACAGATGGAGAAACTGGAAGCCCTTGAACAGTTGCAGTCCCACATTGAAGGATGGGAGGTATGATGTAGTACTGAGAAGCTCCCCAGAGGCAGTTTGCTACACAGTTTTAATGGGCTCAAGTTTAGTGACTCATACTGTGTACAGGGATTTTTGTTTTCTACATGATGTGCAAATGCTCTTGGGGGTGTGGGTGGCATCACACTGATGAGTTTAGAATATATGTTTATTTTGAGTGTGCAGGCTGCTGCTAAATTGTAGCAGAAGAAATGGATTATGAAAGAAAGGAAGTTGTTAGAGCTAGAATGGGCTGAAATTTCAAATGGATAGATCTCATCTGAAAATCAAATAAGTCTAGAAGATGAAATCAGGACTGGTCTAAATAACAGAAGTTTCTCTTCATTCCCACAAGACTTTATGTTTTTCAGGAGCTTTGAAAGGTATCTCACTTAGCTTCATACAGATTTCCTGTATAAAAGATAAAGGTTATATTAGCAAGTATTAGATTAGAAAGCAACTGGTATATTTGTGTTTGGTCGAGTTAACTTACTCATGGATGTGTTTCTGTTGATGTGTTTATCAGTAGGTGGATCTGTGTAGGTAGAAGCATTTACTATGGAAGGGAGAAAAATAATGAGTGATAAAACTTGAATGAAGCTGGGAGGGGGGAAGAAATCTGGAAAAAGATACTGAGAAGTCAGGGTGGTGTGGAAAGCGTTGGCAGCTTATCTTGTGATGACTGTAGTTGAGGCCCTTGAATCAGTGGAGTTGGAAACCTCTGGAACATGCACCATAAGGAGTCAGGGTGTTAAATGGTCTCCTGGAAAGATTGGTGTTGTCATTTAGTGAGACTGATACTTAGAATGTCGAAGCTGATCACTGCCAGCTGAGGATTTCTTAGCTGAGGACATTTTGTTAGAGGTCATGTAAACTTCCTCATGTTCGGATGCTTGGGTGCTCTCCATGACTGTCTTTTGGGTTGTTTTTTATCTTTTGTGTATGTTTTAAACCTTGCTCGTTTTTTCCCTGAAGGATGTTCTTGGCATTCAGCTAAAGACATGAGAACAACCCAGATATCCAGCTGTGTAATTTTTGGATAGCAAGCTCAGCAAACAGTCATGTAATGTTTTGTATAGCAAGACTTTTAGAAGTAATTAAAACATCTCAGGTTCAATGCACTCATGGGTCATCTGGGCAAGAGGCATGGTTTCAGCTCTGGAGCCTGAAGCGTGGCTGTTAAAGTGTCCATGATGTCATAAATGAAGTGGTATCCAAACTTACTGATATTTTGGGGTGTTTTGGGGTGTTTTTTTTAGGGTTTAACTTACCTGAAGTAACATTCTGGGGCTGAAAACCCTTTCAGATTTGTTTATACAGTTTTGTAACAATGTCACCTAGGTCACTCAGCTCAAAATTTCAAAAAGGAAGAAGCGTTTTCCATCCCAGTAAGCTGTGGAACATTTCTAAATTACTCTAATGACATGTTACAAGGAGGAAAAGAAGCTTTATGCATCACAGAGACAGACTCAACACAATGGTGTCTCTTATTTCTGTAAATATAGAGAGGTTTGAAACTCATTGACAGTTTCCTGTCTTCACAGTACTAGAGGTGTTATAAATGATGACAGTATAGCAAAGTGCTGTGTTTGTAATCAACTGGTTTTAGTTCTTTCAGACGTATTTTCCAGTTTATTCCCAATGAGAAGGGCTCCTAACTTCTATCTATGGAAAGCTGCAGTTGCTGAATTGAATTATTAGCTCAAGAATGCAGTGCTGTAAGCACAGAGCTGGCTGTGGGAAGAAGTCTGTAAGATAAATGTATGCCTATTTTTAGTTTATCCAATAGCAATTCCTCCTATGAAATAAAAAATTTCCCTTTTCTGTTATCATGGATACGGATTTTGAAATACTGGTGCCCTGTACATATGGTTATATACATATATATGTATATATCTATGTTTATATATACATATAACCATATATATATAATTTGACATACTAATTTGACAAGCCCTACAGCTTCCAGCAGTTTTAATCCAAGGCATCTAAATTGTCAAAATAAAGTGAAGCTCAGCTTACTTATGAACAAGTATTTTATGTTTGTAGGGGATGTAGCCTGAATCTGAGGAAGTGTTCAAGAAGCCCAGCATGATGTTTGGTGTTAATTTGTTCACATAATTTGGAAAAGGCTTTACCATGTCTGATTTTTCTGTTTAACCAGACCAGCAGTTTCACTGGTGTCTGTAACTTTGCACTTCCTTCCAGCTGTCCCAATGGACATCCCTGGTCTGATCTTTATCCTACTGCCATCAGTGCTGTCCTCAATATTTCCAGCACAAAGAACAATGTGACATCTTTTTTGCTTCTGCAGAGTCTCTTCTTGTTCTTAAGAGTCATCTGTAAGCTATACTAAGAGCAGGAGTTGTTTTTTAGAGCAGTTTCCTCAGTTCAACATATTTTCTTCAACATGTCCACCCACCAATCTCCATCTCCTTCTCTGATACAACTGTCACTATCACTGTCATATACTGAGCGTATCCTAGCATCATTCTTTCAGTCTCTTTCTGAGATTATAATGAGAACATGTTAAAGGCCAAATCTGGGAAGCTACTGAAGGCCTGCAGTTTATGCAGAGGTCTGTTCAGCAAAATGAACTCTGCTCATGTTCTTCTGGAATGCACAGAATCCTTGTTAGATGTATATTATGGATTAACCTCAGACAGATCAATTTGATTCTGGTTAATCCTTCTGAGAAACAAAGATTAGCTAAAAAAAAGGGGGGGGAAGACAAGTAGAGGATGCATGTATACAGTTTATATACTTTTGTATACAGTGTTCTTGCTTGCTTAGTGAAGAACAAGTTAATATGCTGTTTCTGTTAATTATATATTGTTTTTTCTTTGTGGAGTTCTTCTTCAGCCTTCCAGTATCTGAAGGGGGGCCTATAGGGATGCTGGGGAGGGACTACTCATTAGGGACTGTAGACAGGACAAGGGGTAACGGGTTAAAACTTAAACAGGGGAAGTTTAGATTGATATAAGGAGGAAATTCTTTCCTGTTAGGGTGGTGAGGCACTGGAATGGGTTGCCCAGGGGGATTGTGAATGCTCCATCCCTGGCAGTGTTCAAGGCCAGGTTGGACGAAGCCTTGGGTGAGATGGTTTAGTCCCTGCCCACAGCAGGGGGGTTGGAACTTAAGGTCCTTTCCATCCCTAACTATTCTATGATTCTATGATTCTATTCTCATGAGTCATTGTGAGTGATTTTTACACAATTGCCATGTATCCCCAAATTATCCAGGTCTGAAATGCACAAGGGTTTAAGAGATGTGGTAGTGCTTAGGCAGATCAATCATTTGGGCTTTAATTTGCATTTTTACCAGCTATGTTGTTTTCATTCTTTCTTCTGCGGCACCCCAGCAGCTTGGTCCTAGTTAGGACCAATTTCTCACCTTTCTGGTGAGAAGTTCTGTTTTGTCACTGAAAACATCAAATAAATCTTCTTACTCTGCTTCTTACTATTGAAAAACCTCTCATACTGGTATAAATGAGAAATAACGAGGTCAACAGCAAATGGGAAGTGCATCAAGTGTTTTAGATACCATAGTGATGGGGCTGATTGAAAAATAAAGATTCTTAGATTTGAAGGTGAGAAGCAACTGTTGCAATCGTTTGCTTTACTTCCTGCACAAAATAGGGCAGATAATTTTATGCACTGTCAGTAGCACACTGGCTCCAACGTTGCTGTGCTCATTTCTTCTGCTGGTTTTGAGTATCTTTGGAAAATGGAGTATTTGATGTTGAGGTGCTATGAAAGTTTGATTTCTCCATGGGCAAACCACATGAGGAGCATGCTTTTATGTTGTATGGTCAGATGGTTTCTGCTTCTATTTGTGTATGTACTAGTAGGCCTTTGCGGTCATGATCTGGAGACACAGAGATTTCTCCTGGAGATAGTAACAAGTCAAAAGAACAAGTGGTTGTGTCTGGAGTTCAAAAGGGAAGATTTATTGTAGTGTATGAGGACTCCAACAAATATTTGCAATCCAGAGAAAACACGATGTGTTTAGCTGCATTAAGAAATTGAGGACTTCCTTCTTCTGAGTGCACCAGTTACATCACAGTTCAGTGACATGCAGATAAAATAGCAGTGTTTTAGTAAAAATCCTTCACGGTGCATGCACATAAAAGTTAAGAATAAACAATAACTTCTTCTCTTTTCAGGGGTCAAATCTGACTGATATCTGCACACAGCTTTTGCTCCAAGGGACTTTGTTAAAAATCTCAGCAGGAAACATCCAGGAGAGAATGTTCTTTCTATTCGATAACCTTCTGGTCTATTGCAAGAGAAAATCCAGGTGAGTCCCTCCATGCTTGTGGACCATTCAGAAATTTTGTAAGCAGAAAGTATGATCAGTTACTGACCACTCAGTGTATCCCCTGTTGCTGTGCAAGGCTGAGTCACAGGTGTGATTTCCCTCTGTTCTTGAGCGTTGCTATTATTTAGACAACATAAGAAGTCACTCTGTGGTAGGATAAATATGCCACACAGTAATGGGGTCCCCACCCTGAGAAATGCATAATCCAAAGACAGAAGTTGATACAGTGCAGAAAAAACAGAGTGAGTTTCTTACAGCTGGAAAACTTCCCAGAGCAGATGGGTCTCCAGGAGTGATGTGTAGAAGGAGGCCGTGCCAACTTTCATTGTGAGGTTATTCCAAGCAGACAAGGGTGATGTGAAAACCAATATAAAGCCAAGAAAGGGGAAAGTGGAAGACTAAGAAAGTATTAAATAGATGCAGGACACAGAGGAGTGAGGAAGAGATGAAGATTTGCAAGTTGCTGTTCAGCTTTTGCAGCCATGTGCTCTGTGTATCTACAGTTTTTACATCATTCCACCTAATGAAACTCAAGTGTGTTATTAACACCTACTGCTTATTATTAAAATACATTGTCAGAGTGGAGGGCAATTTGCTTGCTGCTGCAGCCAATTACACTGTATTTCAGTCCTTAAGTTTTTCACTTGCACAAGTTTGGTCTTTCCTAAGTTTTCCATACATTCTCTACACTCCAGATTCTTCTCCTTCTCCTTCAAATTATACTTCTTTAATGGTGTTGGCCAAGTAGAATGGCAAACCCAATTAGGAATATCACAGTGTTCTCTCCAGATTCTCATATCTCAAAATTTGGGTTTATTTCCCATTTCAGTGGAAATTTTGGAAACATTAAGCTGGTAAATATAATTTCAGTAATGTTTAGAATTTGTGTGGACAATGCTGAAACTATACAATATAAATAAAAATTATTAGGTGAAATCTATGTTAGAAATTATTAGAATGTAATACTAACATTTAAATTGAAAATTATACAATTCAAACTTGTGTGGCTTTTAAGAGTACCCAAGTGAAGCCTTTTGACTCTGCTGAAATGAAGTAAGAAAACCACATCATATTGACTCTGCAAGATTTGTCAAAATCCAAACTTCCACAAGAAACACTTCATAGATTTGTGTCTTCTGACAGAAAACTGTTCCTTAGGGAATTTCTAAAAAAATTATTTTGATATCTAATCTGTTACTTCTTTAACGCTCTGAGAAACTGGCCTTCTTGTCCTGTTTGTAGTTCAGGTTAGCAGAGCCCCTCCCGTGCTGTCCATTTTTCCTGGGATACTAAGTTTTAGAAAACAAAATGTTCTACTTTAAGCCACTCTTCTTATGTACAGGAGACATTACTGAGCTACTCTGTAGTTTGGCTTGATTTTGGAGGAGGCTGCCTTAACACTCTCATTTTCCCCAGAGGCTTGATAATGTTTATCTTTGTCTAATAATGTAGCTTGAACTGATGAAATGTTCAGAATCTGATTTCCATTATTAAGTCTGCTGGAACTGCCTAGTGTAAAAGATATATTTAGGAATTGCTGAGTGACTTTAATTTTAGATATTTCTCCTTTTTAGCTGCTATTTATAATTAGTCCAGGATGGAAATTAGTGTCTATCCAGGGGTGCTGGTGTGATTATTTGGCCAGCTGCATGACAAACAACTGGCATGTTAGTGGGATACAGCTTTTGGAAAAGCCAGTACCACCAAAAACCTGCCTGTGTCTGTTCCTAATCTGAAATTGAATTACTTGGTTCTCAGCTCGCACTGCTCGTATCTTGTAGAAATCACTGGAGCTTTTCTTGACTCAAAAATGCAATCAGAATTCAGACCTGTCTTTGATAAGTGGTCAACAATGCAGCCATTTAGGATTTAGGCATCCTATCTTTTCACAATAGGGTAAATTAGGAGTAGCGTTGTTGAGACCAGTTTAAGATGTGTCTTAGAATGCGATCTGTGATTTTCAGTGTAAGACTGCAATCTCATCTTTTGCAGAAGCTTTGGGAAGTCTGACTAACTGATGACATAGATTTTCAGAGCCGAGTATTGTTTTGTGTTTTTAGCAGGATCATAGACAGCTGTTTAAATTGAATCCTGATGTCAGGAACAGTATGTTTCATGTGGAGAAATGGGCTGAGTATTTAAAGGGTTTTGCTAAGGCTGCCAGGATAGCTTTTCTTTAGATTCCAATAGTCATCTTTAGGAAATGATCTAATGGCTCCAAGATCTCCATCCCTGTCAGTCTGAATGGATGTTAAATATATGGTTATCACTAAATGTGTATTTGTTACTAAAACTAGTTGTAAAAGGAAAAATTGTTCAGAAGAACTTGGTGATTCTCCTCTCACCTCAGTTTATTACAGATATTTCACTCTGACAGTTTTTTTTTCCTCTCCAGCTGTTTTTTATTGCAATATTTCTTGACTCTTATGAGCTCCTGGCAGGTTGCCACATCAATCCCTTCACTGCACAGGGCTTGAACACTTGCCATCCCAAATGATGATCATTTGACCGGTTGTGTTTTGGTTCATATAGCAGAGTTGTTCTTAGATATTAAAGCTCAGCAGGTGTTAGTTGGACGGTTTTAAACCTGTTATAAACATAAAAATCGGAACATAACTAGCAATGAAAGTGCTTTCTGATTAATTTTTTTATAAGACATTTCAACAAAGACACTATAAAGCTTATGGATAACGATGTTAACTTTGGTGCAAAGTCGCCACAGCAGCACTTTCACAAATGCCCCCTACAGTGACATTTAACACAGATATGACAGGCCATTTGACACCAGCCTCTTTACATGTTTGATTTCATATTTGAAACTTGGTATATATCCCACAAATTTATCAAAGCTTTAGGCAAACAAAAGTGGCAAATGTAACATTTTGTCAGGAGATACTGCAGTTTTCATCCCAGAGCCATGCGCAATTGGGTTGTACTGGCATTTCAGTCAGTCATCAAGAATGTAAAGCTTGAAGGCATCCCAGTCTTCACTTAATCTTGTAAAATAGGCTTTTTATTGTTGTGGTGACATTGTTGTACACTTGTCTTTCTGAGCTGATGGAGTAGTCCAGTTTTTCAAAATCAGAGGTGTGGTCAGATACCACAAAACACTATACCAGAATCCTTTTTTAATAGTCATATCTCAGAATTATATATATATATATATGTATGTTACTCTGTTTATGTGTTGTTAACAGTCTAAATCCTAATTGCAGGGTTACTGGAAAAAAAACTTCTAAAAGGACAAAGTCAATCAACGGCTCCCTTTATATCTTCAGAGGCCGAATAAATACAGAAGTCATGGAGGTGGAAAATGTGGAAGATGGAACAGGTAAGAGACCAAATACTGTCTTTTAACAACACAGCAAGTCCAGATATTATTTTGCAAAGTGGTACAAATGTACTTTTCTGTCTCCTTTAATGAAATCTCAAGCAAGCTATGCAGCTTCTGGTACCTTCATTATTAGACCAACTTATATTTGTTGAAAGACTCGACATGCTTTCAGGCACTAGTCCTTCGTTCTGAAATAACCTTATGAGGAGTTTGTGTACCCAGAAGCTTGTCTATTTTTTCTCCTAATCCAAGTTAATTTAGTAAAAGATACTTTATCTTCTTTCCATCCTTTCTTTTCTTACATCTTAAGCCATTACAGCTATAACAACAGAACTTCTGAATCATCTCATTTAGAACACTAGCAAATATTAGTCTTAGCCTCAAATCAGTAGTATGGAATGTGTCCCTGAACAAAATATGGGAACGGTTCTTGTGTTCTGATTTCATCTCCAAAGGCCAAACGAACCCCTCCTCCTACAGTAGTAAGTCAGGAATGAATATTATGGCCTTTAAACAGTTGACACTTAAAGAGTTCCCATGTCCAATGGACAGAAATCCTTACAGTGCAAGAAGTTAGCGTGTCCCTAGAAAGTTCAGATCAAATAACCTGAACAAACTTCATCGACTGTTGCACTGATGTCATTATGTTTTAAATGTTTTAGCTCTTCTGAGGTAACATTACAGTGTCACTCTCAGGGCTGAAACAGTCAATTTAACAGCCTATGGATGCTTCTGTTAATATGCGTACTTACAGGTAAGTAACGACCGGTCACATGGACAGTCAGTAAGAATGATGCATGAGGAACATCTCCAGAAGTCAGGCTTTTTTAGTTAAGGTGTCCCATGCTGATTTGATTGAAGTAGCAGGCGTTCTGTTCACTGTGTACCTTGTGCTTTGGGTTTCTACAGCAGATTACCACAGCAACGGCTACACTGTGACAAATGGGTGGAAGATACATAACACAGCCAAGAACAAGTGGTTTGTCTGTATGGCCAAGACTGCAGAGGACAAACAAAAATGGCTGGATGCTATAATCAAGGAAAGGGAGCAGAGAGAGAGTAAGTGGATAATGTATTTTGTAATACACTGAATGAACTTGTGTACAGAGGTATAATGTATATGCATGTAGAAGTATCTGAGAGAAAAAGGTTGCAGTTTTACCTCCATGGGCAGAATTAAAATCTATCCTTAATGAAAAAGAAAATCCACTGATCGAAACCAAATATTTCTGAATGTGTACCTTGGGGGTTTTAGGGACTTGTGTCACTGTATTTATCAAACATTTTTATTTACCAGAGGCAGTTTCTTTGAAGCATTGAATTACTGTTGAAAAAATAACATTTAATCAGTTACAGTTTTTGGTCTCGTACTTGCTAAGGAATAATGCTTTAGATGTTTAAGAAAGTTACAGATCTGTCACTGAAGATTCATGAAAGCAGAGAATCCTTTAATGTCCTTTGAAGTCCAAACTTAGTTTTTATATTACAGTACTTTGCATCTAATCTGCTAAACACAATGCATATTGCAGTGCTATTTGTTATCATAGAATATGAACCATTTTGAACATACTTTATGATGTTTGAAGCCCAATGCACATTTTGGTAATAGCAGGGATACTACCTTCAAAATGTAGATGGACATGGTGTAAATTCAGAACTACCTGAAGGCAACAGAGAGAATCTGGTTTGAATTTTGCTCATTGGTCAGTTCTGAATCCCACTCTAAGGATCCTGCACTTCCACATGCTGTATTTCTTTAATAAAATACATTTCTTGGCTCTTACTTTTACCCTCAGAGTGCTAAATCATGTCTCTAAAAGGTCCCATGAGTCTCCATTTCGTAGTGAGTTTTCGCTTTCTGAGGTCACTTAACTGCTCTGCGGAATTTCCTGTGCATCAGGTAAAATGTGTGAGGAGAGAGAAAGTTCAATAACAAGTAAAACAGGATTATTAAAACAGACCATGTATAAGCAGGGAGCCAGAGAATATGGGGAGGTGACTCAGGAAGAACTATTCCATAATAGAAAGTTTCTCAAAGCTTTCCATGCAGCATTGGCTAGTTAGATTTTCTGATGCTTTTTGTCATACAGTTTTATGATGTGGCAGCTGATGACAGGCACTCAGGATAAGCACAGGTATTCTGGCAGACATTCCAGGCCTTACTGGAAAATCTCCTTTGGATCAGAGTGCTTACAAAGTCACAGAGATATCAGTGTTTGGATTAGAAAGGAGAAAGCTTGGTGAGATTCCCAATCCTGCAGGATGAGTTGGGTAAAATGTGCATTCCAGTCTGCCGTTTACATCAGAGCCTGGGGAATTCAGTGATGTAAGACCAGCAGGAAACATGTATACTATTACACAGGCTGTTTTCTATCACAAGTTCACGTTGCAAATTAGCCTCAGCTACACGTGTCAGCATTTGCGATGAATTGGATCACAGTACTGAGGGAAGAAGAGGGTGGAAGAGTTAACAGCAGTAAGCCATGGGGGATGTGGAGCCAAAACTCTTGGACACATGAAAGAAATACTGTATTTGAAAGACAAAATGTTGTGCAAGTCTAATTTCTGGAACGTGCCTTTCAAGTCTCTAGACCAAATGCATTAAGTGTTTTCAGAAAGCTAGAAAGCAGCTCTGATGACACAGAAGACTGTTAATTCATTTCAGTGTCTTACCATAAACCAACAGGATTTATGTCCAGTTAGGGGGAGCTGCTTTTCCCAAAGAGTGTACAGTTTGCATGTCTAGCCTTACACTGATGGCTTAAATTCTGCCCAGTGTAAATCTGTGTAAAAAATTGGGATGTACCCAAGTGCCAGTGTGCCGAGTATAGGAGCAATTCAGGCTGCCTGTTTTAAAAAATGTTAGGTGTCTACAATATGTGCCTCTGTTTTGGACTCCAGAGTTGCCTAGATTTACAGGTTCAGGTTTCAGGAAAATAGAAGTACGTGTGCAGGCTAGAGGAGACAAAACTTACACAGCAGCAAACCAGCTGTCCTGAAGCAATTTGCAAACCTAAAGGGAGGAGTGCCAGCAAATGCCAGTTATGATGATAGCTGTAACATAGACACCTCTTGTTTTCAGAGCTTGTCCTCCTGACTGCAGGAGTTTTCAAGTTAGCATGAACTATGTGGAAACTCACACGACGTGGTCATGAAATTTTCTCTCTCCAATTATCTATCATTCCTTAAATCATTCAGATTTATTTCACTGAATACTACGATTGTCAAAATGTATTTTTTGCTTAAGGTATTAGTAAATACAGTAATTAAGAAAGGAGGAGAAAATAATATTCCTTTCTAGTTTTGATTTATTTAAGGATGTGAATTTGATTTCAGCAGTTTTGTATTTCTGGCGCCAAGTAATAAAACACTCAAAAAACTCATAAGCTCTGTCAAGCATTTTGATGCCTTGAACAAGTCTTATGCTGGCAGTTATTCTCTGGCCAAAATGGAATTGCAACAAGAAATCAGTTTCAGAAGGTACAGAATCACAGAGTGGTTTGGGCTGGAAGGGATCATCTATTTCCACCCCCCTGCCACGGGCAGGCACACCTTCCACTAGACGAGGTTGCTCCAAGCCCCATCCAACCTGGCTTCTTAAACACTGCCAGGGATGGGGCAGCCACAGCTTCTCTGGGCACCCTGTGCCAGCACCTCACCATCTTCACACTAAAGAATTTCTTCCTAATATCTAACCTAAATCTCCTCCTGTCAATTTAAAGCCATTCCTTCTTGTCCTGGCCCTACAGGCCCTTGACAAATCTCTCTCTCCAGATTTCTTGTTGGCTCCTTTAGGCACTGGAGCTGCTCCAAGGTCTCACCAGAGCATTCTCTTCTCCGGGCTGAATGAGCCCAGCTCTCTCAGCCTGCCTCCAGAGCAGAGCTGCTCCAGCCCTTGGAGCATCTTCATGGCCTCCTCTGGACTCACTCCAACAGCTCCATGTCCCTCTTGTGCTGGGGTCCCCAGAGCTGGACTGCAGGGGCTTCTATCCAGTTAGGAGTAGAGGGGGAGAATTCCCTCCCTCGACCTGCTGGTCATGCTGCTGGTGATGCAGCCTGAGACACAGTTGGCTTTCTGGGCTGTGAGCACACACTGATGGCTCACATTCAGCTTCTCATCAACCAGCATCCCCAAGTCTGTCCTCCTCAGGGCTTCTCTCAATCCATTCTTTGTCCAACCTGTAGTTTTGCTTGGGATTGCCCTGGCACAGGTGCATCTTTCTCTGGAAGTTCTCCATGCTCTGTAAACCCTTCTGCTTTGTGTGATATTAAGGATCTGAAGGAATTTCTGTTTTGTATTCCAGGTTTGAAATTGGGAATGGAGAGGGATGCATACGTCATGATTGCAGAGAAAGGAGAGAAGCTCTACCAAATGATGATGAGCAAGAAAGTGAACCTTATCAAAGACAGGAGGAGAAAATTAAGCACTGTTCCCAAGTGCTTTCTTGGCAAGTAAGTGGCATTTGAATTGAAAAGGCCCTTTCATTCCAATCAAAAGAATGGACTCTGGATTTTCTGGGGGTGGCATTACGAGGTCAGATCAGATGTGCACTGATGCAGCTTAATTGAAAAGGCCAATAACCCCCATTACAGTTGTGATTTATTAAAATTAATCATTGATTCCTATTTATGCTCTGCAGTGACAGCTCATTCTACTCTACAATAACTCTTAACAGCTGTTTCAAATCACCAAAAGGAATAAGAAAAAATACCTTAACTCCCACATGCTCAGGCCTGTTGGTGGCCAAACCTATATCCTCATTTGTGCGCACCCAAATGCTTACCAGGTGATGTTTAAACCCAGCAGAACTGTCCAAGTCTCAAGATTAAAGTTAGAAGTTTCCTGTTTGTCAATGTAACATGCACAAATGAAATTTTGTGCATCCTGAGGCATTTCTTAGAAGTACAGGGCTTTAGTGCCTGGAAAAGAACTTTCCCAGGATAGATATTACAAAATAATTCTGAAGTATGACCCATATGGGGCAGTAGACAAGAGACCCCATGGATGAATCAGACCTCTGATTAGATACGGTAGCAGTGGGGCTGTTGTAGGGAAATATCCTGCATGGCACAGAGGGAGACACATTAGTTGACCTGAGAAGACTTTTCTGCCTCAGCTGTTTATGATTGAAATGATCAGCTGTGGGAGAGGCAGATTATCCATTCATTTCCCTTCTCTCCCCCTCTCTCTGTAATGGCAGTTTGCAGGCAGTATTCCGTGTGTACAGGGTGTGGAAATGATGCATTGTCTTTCTGGCTGACAGAAGGCAGTCTGGTAGCACAGACTAGTCACATTTCAACTATTAAAACCTTGATTTTTTGAAATTTGGTTGGTTTTTTCCTTCACCCTCAGTCCCCCCTCCCCCAGCTGATTTTACTGGATCCATTTTGAAAGCTTTAAGCTCAGAATTTGGAGGCATGATATAGCATTTCCTATTTCCTACACAAGAAGTACCAGGTCAGAAACTTGCATTCTTCCAGTGCTTATATATATGAGTCTGTTGTGGAGTCCTGGATGTTTTGCTTGATCTCAAGTCTTACCTATGATTTGCTGCTGCTACTTTATCTTTTAAAATGTCTGTAGCCTTACATGCTCCACAGTCTGTCCGGCTCATTGCCCTCAGTTTGCTTGACAGCCACTTGACATTCCTGTAGTGAGGACTTGACCTAACTTTGCAATGGGTAATTGAACCCAGACTGGGATTCCAACAGGTATCCTGATCTCTGACAAAAACATTATTTGTGCTAATGTTGCAGCCCTTCCCATAGAAAATAATTCTGCTGATATATTTTCATCAGTCAGTTGCTGGTACAATTCTGGGCAAGTCAGTTGAGTGCAACTCTATCAGGACAATCTAGTTGTGACTTGCAGGCTTTCTGTATCATTACTGGGGCTTCTCCTGAACAGTGTGTATTGGCTGTGACCTGGTCATTTCTTCAGATATTCTGGGTAAGGCAGTCACTAATAACTGTGCTGAGATGTACTTAGTGGTTTTCTACTACATGCTGCTGAGAATAACACTAAGGCTGCAGAAGACTAGTTGTTCTCTTGGCCTTTGGATGTCAGATAGCATCTAGTAATTCAAGAGAGAAAATGTGGTTGCAGAAGAAAAAATAGGAACTAATCCTAATATCTTCAAAACATCACATGCATTTATTTATAAGGCTGTTTACTGAGCTTCAGCAAATGACTTGCTGAGTGCAAATCCATTTTCCTAACCACTCAGGTATCCTGGCATTTAGGCATGTGACTAGTTATACATTGGGAAAGATGTGTGTTGGTGCCAATATCTGCAAATGGTATGCTTGCCATGCTTCTTGTCAGCACTGCCCTAAATTGATTGCAAAATCTTGAAACTGTGTTGAGCTTGTAATAGAGAGGATCTGTTAACCTCAGAAGATTCCAAACATATCTGATCAGATTGCACAAACCTGATGGGCTGGATTTTCCTGTGTATTTCTTGACTAGAAACCCAGCCATTCTAAGTCCCTTATTTTCAGAGCTATAGTTGGGAGATGGTGTCCTGACTTGCATTCCAGGTGAGAACTGAGCTTGGCAGCACTGAGCAGTGAGGAGACTCTCAATTTTACTGGAGAACTGCTTAGAACAAGATGAGGAAAAAGTCAAGCTTTGCCATCCACTTTTTGAGTTGATGGGTTTTTAGCAACAGTCCAGCATATACCTAAAAACCCTCTTGAAATATTTCTGGCTCATGCACTCTTCAGTGCTTGTAAAGCCCTCAGAGTAAATGATCACTGATTTTGCGTATAAATCAAATACCACAGAAGTCTTAAAGTAACTCTTAAGAAAACCATCCCATGGTTCTGATTTTCAGGGCTCTGAGAGTAGCTTTCAGTTATTTTCCTTTCTCAGGAAATGGAAAATTGCAAACTGATTTTGCAGTTGCAAACTTTAGGAAAACTGTCTTACATTTGCAATCCAAATAGGCTCCAGGGACACAGTTCTAGATAAAAGAAGCAGGAAAGCTCACAGGGTAGCATTGTTCTGAAGTATTGTACACTGTTTAAGTGCTGTAAACTGACATAGACCCATGGCACTTGATGGAGAAATATGTAGCAACTGAGCACCTACCCTGGGTACTTAACAGGATTACAGTCATTGGCCAGCATGTGCCTGATGGGGCACTCCAGAGAGGGTTTGTCTTTTATTCTCAGTAATGAGTGAAGAGGATCATTCCTACTTCTCCTCCCTCTGCAGTTGATACTCTGTTTCAGCTTTTAAAGACTTCTAGAAACAGTTCAGAATCACTGGCAAATTGAGAATGAGCTTTCCTTAGGAGATAGGAAGTCTAACTCACCACTCCAGTACTGGTTTTATGAAACTGTGCTGGTTTCCATGGGATTCCCCTGGCATAGTTGAATAGATTCTGCTGCTTTTTCAGCACTATGACAGTTAGAGTAGCCCTCAGCAAACCAGAGTTTTCAGTACTGAAGTTGTTGTTGTTCTAAAGGCAAAATGCAAATGCTACCTACAGCTTGGATGAGTCAGGTCTAATAAACATGACGATACTAAAAATATTTCATTTAGAGCCCAAAGGTGGAGGCATGGATACTGCTTTGGATAAGCAGCAGCCCGCTGCACACTGGCAAATAGACAAGGGTTTTATTGAACTTAGATTTCCCATATGTCACTCTACTTTCATATATTCCTTTTATTCTTCTCCATGAATTTAACACATTTCTAGTATAATCACTAATTAACCTGGCAAACAGCTCAGCCCCTTAGGGCTTTGGCATTGCTGGATTCATCAGGCTTGCAGTGTCTGTTTTTCTGTACTTACTGTTTCTAATTGAGTAACATCCTACATATCTATCCATTTTTGGCTTTTATTCTGCCCATATGTGCAGCTTTGCCCCTTTCCATAGAGAGGTTTTGTTCTGTGCTGCATGAGCAGACAGACTTGGCACTTTTTGTCCATAAATTAGAAGCATCGTGTATATATCTGCCAGGCACCAGCTCCAGTAAATGACCTTAAATTAACCTGTCACTGGGACTTGTGCTCTCTCTTACTGCTCTATGCTTGAATTAAGTAGGTTGAATCTTCTGTCCTAAGTCCTACTGTGCTTCCATTAAAGCCAATGCAATGCAGACCCAGTGAAGAACAGTGAGCATACATAACTAAGACCACAAACACTGCTTGGAGGAATAGCTTGGGTAGAACTAGCTGTTTTCTCTACTGTTCAACTTGTTGTTTTTAAGGTCATCAGTTAATTTTGCCTTTGTTTTTCCCTGTGGATGTCTGGATTGCTCAGTAGAGTAAGGTTTTTTAGCATCTTGATAGATCCAGCCAGGTCATTTTATCTTTTGTGTGCATGCTAATTATGATGAAAAAGGGGGAAAATAGTGGGAAGAGTCATGGATAGGAGATATAGATCTTGAGCAGAGCACTTCCTCCAGAAATGTATGAAATCAATCCACCTACTAGAGGTATCATGATTTAAAACAGTTTTCACACTTGTTTCAAGGAGAAGGTCTCCTGATGGCTTGCAGAGGCGTGTGTCTGCTTATATTCAGAGTTAAAAGCTAATTGTTTCTGTTCTGCTTCCTTTTGCAGTGAGTTTGTATCATGGCTCACAGAGATTGGAGAGATAAGCAAACCGGAGGAAGGGGTCAACCTGGGACAGGCACTATTGGAAAATGGAATCATTCATCATGGTGAGTGCTCCATGCCATAAACAGATGTCAGATTTCGGTAATGCCCTGGAAATGAGGGTGGAAAACTGACTGCAGATGTTCCCATGATGTTCAAATACTTTCCTGTACTGTACTCATCAGATCCTCAAAATGTTTAGTGGCTTTTGCCATTAATGAGTGGGCAGATTTATGCCATGAAAACAGGACTTGCTGGGTATCATGAAAGTGCGTATGCCTGCAGTTTCTTGATTTGTCTGCAACATCTTTGTTGAGGACTGTATCAGGTGTGTATTCCTTTGTACTATGTGTTTGAAAATCTGCAGTGATCCATAAATACAGCTTTCCATGTGAGACATTAGCAATGCAGAAGATAGTTGAGCTGTGTTCTTTTAGAATGGGGTGCAGATACAAACAAAGGGAGGGGCTCCAGATGATGGGTCATTAGTCTAATGAGATTGCTTGTCATAAAGAAAAGAGATGATGGAGGGTTTGTTGTGGGATTTGATCTTTCCAGTTGATTAGGCAATCAGCTAGCAAACACTGATGCACCATATTTTTTCATCACACCCAGCAGATGACCTTGAAGTGTTGTGTTGAAGGGCATTTTAGAAGAGTAGTACAGCGCATATGGAAGCGCTGCATGACCAAAGTAGCATGAGATGCTTGTGCACAAACTTGAAAGAATCAGGATGCAGTTTGAGCTTTAGTCTGCCCCTTGCAGAGTGGGTAGGATAATTGTTGAGAAGGCAGAGACCAGAAATTCTTAAGACTATCCCCTCATTAGATAGGATATCCTGGTCTTTAATGAAGATTTCTGCTTTTGGCGATATATTTACAGAATAAAATACAATTTGCAGGATCTGGTGTGTATCCATTTGGGTACAGTGGAATCTCTAAGCTGCATGAGCTGTTGACTTCTTTGAGTGGTCTGCATGCTCTGGATTTCTAAATCCAATTGCGAATCGAGTCTGCAGAAAGTGTCTTTTGTGTCTGACACACAGCAGCTCAGGTTCTGATCACTTCTGCTCTCTCTGACAGGTACCAGAACTTGCACATCAGCAGTTCTAGCTAAAAAGATAAAAAAGCCAGAATTAAAGGAAATACTGAGGAAACTGAATGATGAAACACATAGAGTTCAGCACTTAGCACAGTGCTCAGTGTTTAGCAATCTTCTATGGCCTGTTTCTCAGGCAGGCTGAGAGATCAGCAGTTTCCACCTGACAGTAATGTTATGCCAAGTGAAAACAAAAGATAAAAGATTGCTTAATATAGAACAGGGGTAAGGGCTTCAAGATGGTGCTTAAGTTTTAAGTTCTTTCTACACTGGAAGACACCTAATGGGATACTTTAATGTTTAATGATTTACCAAAATCTCAAGGGGTACTTCCTTAAGAAAATGCAGCACTGCAAATATCTTTCAATGTCTAGCAATAACTGTCATAGGAGACACTTAACATCAGGAACTCTTAACTAAAGGTGACATGAAAAACAAACCTGATGCATCTTGCTCAGGGTATTGGAACAAGAGTAGCCTAATTACATAGCTCCCCTATTTAAATTGGTTGCCAAGAGATTGTACAGAAATGTAGACCACTGGTGACTTAAGACCTATATCATGTATTCCTTCAATGTGCATTTTGCAGCTAAACTCACCTGAATGTTGACATTGAGGCATTTGCTGTTTAATTAGAAGAGGACTGTGTTGTGTCTTCAGAAAATTATAGATACCAGCAAATCCTTGGGTGTAGATGTACCAACTGGCCTATGCAGAACATGGCAGGGGAGAAAAGACTGATTTTAATTATGATGCTGGTGTGTTAGTTTCAGATAAGCACCAGTTTAAGAATGAGCAGGTGATGTACAGATTTCGCTATGATGATGGAACATACAAGCCAAGAAGTGAATTGGAAGACATCATGTCCAAGGTTTGTATTATTATTCTTATTTGGAGCCTTGTGATTTGTATCAGAAGAGTTTGCTCCACCTCTGAATGTCAATGTCCTGTCGTATAGGAGATCCCTAATGCTGTTAATCTTTGTTGTATTAAGCTATCCATCCTAATGCCGTAGGAGACATTCACTCTAGGGAGAGGAAGCAGAGCTTGGCAATAATACAGTCATGACTGCATACGGGACTGCTGATTGCAATCCCAATATAGTAAGAAAAGGTCTTAAAAGAAAGCAGTAGGCTGTAATACAGCATGTCTGCTGAAAATCTGGGCATTATGGTTCAGGCAGATAGAAGAGATCAATATGTAACTGCTGTTCCTGATAATGGTATGTCAGATGTGTTCTGTTGATCCCGTATCTACCCACATACCTTTTAATAAATTGGATTTTTTCTTCTGGACATTAGTTCATGGGTTAATTGTGAGGAGGGATTAATGGAAAAATGTTGGAATGGAGGTCATTAGAGATAAAAACATTTATTTTTTTTCTTGGCTTCTGGAGGCAGGAAAGAAGAAAGAATGTTTGACAGAAGATAAGGGAGCTGTTTTGAAAAACAGTTAATCAATAGATAATTCCAGCTGAGTAGAGACATGACTGTCCAGGTTTTGCTAGCTTTAACTAGTCAGTGTTTCTTTGAAAAGGAAAAAACTGATAATACCATGCATCTTTCCTTCTTCAGGGTGTGAGGCTCTACTGCCGACTGCACTGCCTATATACTCCAGTGGTAAAGTAAGTTCATCTTCATGATCCTTTTGTATATGTTACTAGGCTTTGCTAAAAGGACACCATGTTACTATTAAAATCTTCTTCTGTCTTACTATAAACAGTAAGTTTCTGGATTTTCTTGGCTCTTTTACTACCCTTCTGTCTACACAGTTTAGATCTGTAGTTGTACTTCTGCTAGAAAATGTTGGAACTGGGTTCTGGGAGAGTGACAGGCTGGTGTTAGCAGTCTTCCTGACACTTGCTTCCTCTGTCAGTTCACAAGAGCTGTTAGCATGGCACTAGGTTATTTGTTTTCTCTGGTGTTTTCTGTGAGTTAAAGTGAGTGAGATTAGTAAGTGACTACTGATTCAGGGCAGATTGTGTGGTATGATTGTAGCTGCTGTATTATTTGGGTTACAGAAAATGTAAACAGATGCTAAAGTGATGTAAACAGATTCCAGTGTGATTTAAGGCACCCTAAACAAACAAAAACCATTCTCAAGTGAAATAAAACCTGAAGCTGTAATTTGGAAAATCCCTGAAAATTCTGGGTGGAATCTTCAGAATTTGGCTATAAAAATAAATGCTGAAGACCGATATAATCTACAAGCACTTAGTTAACTGTCCTCCCAGATCCCAGGAGGTGATTTCAAATGTCGTTGCCTTATTGTGACATGGAATGAACATTTCTGGCCTAGAATGGAAACTATCCTGAACTGTCTGTGTTCTGTACAGCTGTTTATGACTGAAAATTAGGCGTTTTCACTTAAAAGAACTTAATTTTTACATACAAAAAACTGATGAGGAAAAAAACAACCAACCCTCTTGTGGGCATGGCTGGAGTCCCAAATTCACCAAAACTGACCTCTTGCCCCTGATTTGTACAATTGTTTCACTGAGCATTGGCATGCTAAAAGGAGCTGCAAAGATAGTTACAGTTCATCAGTTATAAATTCGCCTAATTAGATCTCTCTTTTCTTCCCCAGAATAGCTGTCCTATAATAGTAGAGATTTCAGTTAGCCTCAAGGATATGGAGAGAGCAGGAAAGCATGATGCAGCCTTGGTAGGCAAAATGGTTATGCATATGCATGTGTGTATTTGCACATACACATCTCGCCCCTTGAGATGGCAATTCACATGCAGAGTAGGAATAATGGTAAGTGAAGCTCAAAAACATTTTCCTGCCCTCAGGTTACCCACAAACTGAAAGGGTTATAGTCTTATGCTTTAGGGAATCAGCAAGGACAAAGTAAGTGCCATAGGCCTGTCCTGTGGTGTTTTATCAGTGTGCTATTTTTGTAATAGAATCCCAGCTGGAGAATCTTCTCATATCAGGATTAATCTTTGTTAGTGACAGCATGAATCTAAACTGTGTATGACCAGTGAAAAATAGCAGACTTTCAGAAGTCTGAGGATCCTTCTGGATAGACTTAACGTACTCGGTATGTTTAGGCTCTTCTTCCCACTGTTCTCTTTCCTACTCACTCTTCCTTTTATCTCCCTGTGAGAAAACTGAATCTCCTAGGCTGTCATCCTTTCATATCTTCCTGACATGTCTTTTTGCCTCTGACAAGCCTAATGTTAACCTGAAGAGCTAACTTTTAGCCAAGTTACTTGTGCCAAGCTTACACTTTCTGCTGTGCCTTTGGATCTGTCATTTTTGGACTGCTGATCCCTGCAATCTTGCTAAGCAAGGTTGATGAGGCTGATTTTTCTGGTGCGACCTTCCTTCTGGTAAATCAGCAGACCTGCTTGGAGTAGCAGGAGCATGGGCCAAGAGGATCTGGAGGAATCACAAAGTTCAAAATTCAGTTATTTTATGGGCAACCTTGGGATGTACTTTTGCTTAGTTGTCTTCCCTGGAAACGTGAGAGTTTCCACATAGCCTTTGTCTTTATAATTTTCTTTAAGTAAACTCTGACACTGATGTACTTTGAGGACGAGAGAACAGATCCCATAGGAAACAAAGCTACTTTGTGGATTGGTACAGTAAAAGTAAAACATTTTGAAAGATCTTAGATGCAAAGAAAGTTCTGAATGTCTCTGGTCTACTTCAGGGAAGTTGTGAGGATGGAAGAACTTGCTCCCACTTACACATGTGATGGACAATACTTCACAGCATAGATGGGCCAGATCCTGTGAAGAACATTATATTCCTCTAGTTCCTGTGAGGCAGCAAGGTTCTGCCAAAGTTTTGGTGGTTCCCACATCTATATTTGGCTATTCACCTGTAGCTCGTGGTTCTGAATGACCTTCTAGGATCCATGCTCTGCTCTTGCTCAGGCTAGATTGAAATGGGGGAAAAAGGTCAGTGAACTAATGTTGAAATATTTATCCTGCAAAGCATTTAACTACAACCAGTGAAAGACTGGGCCTTGGACCAAGATCCTGATGCCAGCTTATTCAGAACTTTAGCCCTATGTCAGCATCTCTATGAAAATGTTGGGAGTTGCTTCTCACAATCTGGAACCCCCTTCTCATTGGTACTCAGTATTTTAATGCTTTCCCTTTATTGTTCTGACATTTCAAAGCACATTTTCTCAAGATAAGAGTGTGAGAGGGAAAAATTGCGCAGAAAACTCCCACAGCGTTGTGCTGGGTTTAGCACATTACTGGAAGAGAAGTCAAAAAATGTGTGTAAGCAGAATGAGGAAAGCTTTTGTTCTGAGGACACAGATTTCTGGAAATGCTGTCATGAGTTTTCTGTTTTGTTTTTTTCCAAGCTCTGAAACTCCTGCTTCCCTTTCTAATTTCTCACACCCTGCATTCTGCAAACACACAGGCATCTCCAGTGCTGGTATTCACAAAAGCCAGTCACAACATATTTGTATCTGTAGGTGATTAGTAAAGGACATGAGTAGGATGAATTTTAGATGGTGGCTTGATGTTAGAAATTTAGAAAAAAGGAAACACCAAGTCGTGTGGTGCTAATGAAAGAGGCTGATTTGACAGAACTGAAGAATGAAGTCTTCCCTTGAGCTGCTGTATAGATACATCCGGACTATAAAACAGTCACAGTGGCTGTGAAAGCTTCTTTCTGCAGCCATGCCAGTGGACTTCAAGCTTGAAATAGAAGGACCACCTCCAAGGGTGAGAGAGGAATTAATTCTTCATGGTGCATTCAGCATTTGGCCTCGCTACTGAGATTCTCAACAAGAGGGAACCGATTAATGCAAATTAATTGTGGTAATGGCTTTTGTGATATGGAACTAGGAACTGGATCAAGACCACTAAACTTGTTTCACACGAGCCAGTAAACAGCCTTAAAGTGGAAAGAGCTTTTCATTCTCTCATGAGCTTGGATTAAATCCAGTGACCTGGAGGTGAAAGGTGCTAGAGCCCAATGTCCAGAGCCACACAGTCCTTATATTTGTATCAAAAAATTCTTTACAAGTATTTTATGAAAGGCTAAAGCCATCAATTATCTCCATGGTTCTGAGAAGAGGAATGGAAGAAAACAGCAAACAGCAGCAAGTTACAGTAGGGTTTCTTTTCCGTATTTCAGGAACAGTGCTGCTCTCTACAAAAGCAATGTATGAGATAGTGCAAGTTGTGTTACAAGGCATGAATACAACACATGTTTTATTTACAATGGCTGAAATTATGTAATGCCATAGAAGCATGCTGTGTATTCTGTGTCTGGCCTCTCTGATATTTTGCTAAAGGAAGTAAAACATGAAAAGGTGAGAATCAGGAGAATCTCTATTTGACACAGTAGGCCAAAGGGTGCTCAGTTCATTGAGCTCAACAAAAATGGGACCAGAGAGAATATATAGGGTCACCATCTATGAATATATTGATGAGTAAACACGAGAGAAGAACTGTTTAAGCTTACAGATGAGGCTGGCACTGAGCCAATAAGTGTAAGCAGTACACAAACAGATTTAGGGTAGAAACTAGATGACTTTCAGATAGAAGAACATGACTTTCAACAGAGCCAGTGGTGGCAATATTCTGACCTGAGTTAAAGCAGCGGTTCAGTACATCTGTGAAAAGCATGTCCTGGTTGCCTCTGGCAGGAGTATGAGCTTACTGAAGATGGCTTGAAACAACATCTAGAGAAATTTGAAATAACACTGCTCTGTATTGATCTGAAATACATTCCTCATTCAAGCAGCTAGATAAGTTTAAAAACTGGGCTTTTCTAAAGGATATCTGCTTCTTATTCATGATTATGTGGCTGAGAGTCTCATTTTTTCCCCATCTACAATTCTTCTTTCCTCATCTTAATGGTAGTAGGTTACAACAGAACGTGGAGTTTTAGAGTGTAAAAGAAATGTTTACCTTTTTGTCCTGATTTTCCCTGAATTTTCTTTCTTAGAGACCGTGACTACCACCTAAAGACCTACAAATCAGTAATCCCTGCAAGTAAACTAGTGGATTGGCTTATTGCACAGGTAAGAAAATGTTAAGATTCTGCTGTCTTTGACAAGGAGCTTAATTCATCAGTTCCATGTAAAAGTAAATAGAACACATTTATCTAGAAAACATTACAACAAAAATAAACATAATCTGATTCTTTGAACTTATGCTTTCTGTTATTGTTCATTTGGTGAAAACTTGGTGTTTGCCAGCATAAGAAGGAAGAAAGTTCTTTGTTAGCCTTAGGAGTGGTGAACTGGCTGTTCTTGGGGATCTTTCCTACTTCTTGTGATTTTTGGAAGACATTTAAAGCAATGTTGATCTCATTTAATGCAGTATAGGTGTGGTACGATTTTAATGAAAAATGAATCTAGAGTTTTATACCAACAACTGCACTGTTGTCTTTAGATGTAGTTGCTCCACATTTATCTTGCCATTACAGAGATGAGCTTCTAGCTTGGGAAATGAAAAATTCAGCTTTGATAGTCTAAGGCAGTCTGAAGGGAAAGTGTGCTGTGTTGATCACCATCAGTCAGGTGCAGGTTCTCGTTTTGTCTTACACGTGGATGCTCTGATTCACAGTCACACTAAGTTCTGTACTGCCAAAATGACATAAAGGGAGAGTGGTTTGAATGATAATCAGGCATCTCACAACAAGGGATGTTGTCCTTCAGAACTGTTTCCTGCAATTGCGTTTGACATCCCCCTACATTAAGAAGATTGATATGATTTAAGGTTGTTCTATGCCACATAACTGAATGAGAATGGAGTAGTCAATTGTTTTCCTGTTAAGAGCACAAAGGAGAGCAAAGATATTAGTATTAAGGTTGTCACATCAGTTACATGTAATTTAACTGGGTCTTCATGGAAAGAAGCTGAGGGGGAAGGGGAAGGGGGAAGTTTGCTTTGGCCAAAGAAGAGAGATGTAATCAGGCTAATTTGGCCAATATAGTACTTAATCATAGAGCTGCAGGCTGTAGAAAGACTCGGATAGCAAAGTAAAACATCAGCTCTTGGTCAGGAAAAAAGGTAGCTCATTTCCCTCCCTACTTTCCTTCCCCTTCGTTTCTCTTTGCAATTTAAACTATAAATGTCACTGAGAGCCCTCCCTAATAAGAAAACCTTTTTTCATTTCCTGAACCTTTCCAAATACCCATAAACTGAACAGAGCAAAAGACTAAGAACCATTTTACAGTCAAATAACTGACGTCAGTTGTATTTTGTACCTTGATCCTCCTACCTGGAAATTGTTGGTTATTGTACTTCTGACAAGTGATGAGTTGGGTCCTCAGCAAAGCTTAATCATGTATATGTTTGAACAGCTGTATTCAAATGTGATATATGTTATTATCCCCTGTATACTGTATGCACTCAAAGTTTGGGGCTGGATAGGCATTAGGAGTTCTGTAATGAAACATGCAGTACATTTGTGGCTCTTTGGATATCAGGGGTCTGCAGGAACTGAGCATCTCTGACTGTTGGGTTTATTAGTAAGTACCCTGTGATATGCTAGCACAGATTATTCACTACAAGGGAGTCTCTGCATGTGAGAGAGGAAGGTCAAGTGATTTCCTAATGACTTTGAAATTTAATACCGAATGACTGATGTCTTTTTATTGTTTATACCTCTTAACAATAGCTGAATCCTACTGTAGTTACCTCTGTAGTATGTCTTAGGCTGACTGTGTATGAGACACTAAAATAAGCATTAAATATGATGATAGAAGGAAGCACATATGAGTGTAACTGCTGACTGGAGATGACACAAAGTCAGTTCTTGGAAAACAGTGCTAGAGTTCTCCACAGGCAATACTTTAGTGACCCTTTGAATGTAACAAGGATAAAAGGAGAAATATCTGATACAAATATCCGTGGATTTAGACTGAAAGTGTCTGTGAATTATATTACAGTCACTATATGCATTTAGATGTAATCCTTAAAGGGAAGGATTCTGGACCCTCTCAAACTCATTTCACAACCTAATGTTTCTCTCGCTGCCAATAGGCTGAGAACAAAGAGGAACAGAGATCTCACAAACGTCAGAGCTCTGGTACTTCACAGAATCTTAGGTGCTACTGAGAGTGCACTAAAAGACTGTACTGCCACAATCGCAACACTTGTCATCTGGTGGAGGATTTATACCCAGACCTCCAGAAGTGAACTGTGATAAAACACTACCAGTTGAATCCCCAGTCCTCACTCTAAGAAACTTAAAATGGCAGTGTTATGAAAGGTAGAACAAGGGACAAATGCACTGTAGAAACCTGCTGGTAATATTCTTTAGGACTTTTGCTCTAGTGGGTGTCTTACCTCTTTCCATTCATCCATCCTTCCATCCACTTGTTTTTTTCTATGGCAGTATATATGGCACTTGTGTGCATTGCATTACCGTAGGCTTCCTTCCAGATGGGAAGGAGCACTTCAATCTTGAAACTCCTTTTCCATGACGTCAGCAAAATAGTACAGTGTGTTTTGGTTGCTGTTCTTATCTGTGTGCATCTGTTTTCTTTTCTCCTACATGTGGGTTGTAAACAGTCTAGGTCAGAGATCGTCTTAATTGCTGGGCTTATACATCTCGAAACAATCAACCACGGACCATGATTAGGGCTTTAGATATCATATAATTACCAGAACTAAACAACAATAATAACAATAGTAATGGTTGCTATAGTAATAGTAATAATAATAGTGTGCTCTGGACTATGATACTGACTGTAAACTATGTACTTCTGCTGACTCCAATTCAGTGATTGTATTTGAATAAACCCAAATTACCTTGTCAAAACAAGTATATATAGCTTCACAGTCCATTTTTGTATGGAAAAGTTACGAGACACATTCTGTCAAGATTATTGATTGTAAGTGGCTCTTTTTTCTTAAGATTTTTTTTACTGGTTTAATTGTATTTGGACAAATTGCTACATAACATTTAGAAGTATGTACGGGTGAGCTGAAATGATCTATTTTAAGTTGTATTTTATAATTAGAGAATGTTGTTTTGCTAGGGGAATGTTTTAAGGCCAAGTTAACGTCATCAGGAGCAGCCAAATAAAGTCTGGTTTAGAGCCTTCCTACACAAAGATTTTGTTGCCAATAAAAAAAGTAAATTCCTAAAACCTAACAGAGTAACATTAGGAGGCATTTCTCTTCCAGTTTATTTACAGTTGAAAGAATAAATGAGATTTTTAAATCCCAGCCTCTATAAAATAAACTAACCTTTTATCCCATAAAGTAACAGAAAGTGAGTGTTGAAAAGGAGGATTTACAAAGACCTGAAATTAGTTCATAGTGAAAGTTTAAACTTAAGGTTTATTAAAGCCCTTTCCTTGGCTGTCCTTATGCGATCATCTAATCGCACTTCCTCCAGAACAGCCTTGTTTTTTTGTCCTGCCAAGTCAACAGTATTTAGTTCTTAATTTGTAAATGTCATGCCTCTCAGAAACTCTCTTCAAGAAGAGCCAGTAGTGCTGCTGATTGGCAAGAGCAGACCCTATTTTATCCTGTATTTAAATAGTATCTTTACACCATAGCAGTGTTCTTTGCCAGTATTTGCCTGTCAAACAGCTACTGATCTCCTTAGTAGGACCTAAGTGTGAGTGGTGTTCTACTGACAAGAACAGAGGGCTCTTGGTCTGCAAACTGGTTTGTGTAAAACAATGTCAGTGCACTGCAGTTCTGCTAGAGCTTCAGGTATCTAGTTCTTCAGGTGGAGGGGGAAAAGAAAGGTGACAGGGTGTGATACTTTTGTAGGATAGAGCTTCTGATTTGGTAGGAGTGACAGTATTACGCTGCAATTGCTCCTCTGCCAAAGCAGCAGGTCCCCTGCCTGCTGGAATGAGCTGACCTACTGCTCTTAGTGAGATAGCAGATTCCAGGTTCTCCTGTGCCCGTCTGAGGACTAGAAAGCAGGTAAACCTGCATCAAATGACCAGTATTAACAGTGTTTTTCATCTGGGTAACACCCATAGTACCCACTGATTTTTACCAGCACTGTTTAGAACTTGTATCTCTGCCTATAAAGTGCAACCAGCATGTTTGTAAAGTCATCACTGGTTGCAAATTGGCAGACACGTAGATAAAACTAAGTGTTTCTTCTGTTTACCTGAGTTGTAGATGGAAACCTTCATGCTGCAATTTCAGGGGAATTTGTAAATTTGGAAGCCACCTTTGGTACCTGTTTTGCAATACTGCAGTCAGGGCTCCAGATAGTGGGAAACTGAAGCCTTTGTTCTTACGTCTGCTGTGTAAGAAAAGAATGCCACTGCAGCTTTAACCAGCCTGACCTTTGGAGTTCACATAGGCTGGGTTTACTCAGGTTTTTCTCCCTTTGGTTGAGTACAGATAAGATCTCCCAACTTCTCACTCTAAGAATGAGTTTTATCGTCTGTGGCAAATGGGTCCTCAAGTGCAACACTATGACTGCAAATAAAAAGTCTTTAAATTGAGATAACTTTATGTCCCATTGTGGGTTAAACAACTACTTTCCAGAATCCTGGTCTTTGTCCTCCTAGTTCCTGTAGGAGGCAAGAGATGCTATATATAGAAATGAATGAGATTTGGGCAACGGGTTAGCTCTGTCAATTTCTTGCTGTTGTTCCCTACAAGAAGCATCCTGCTAATTTCAGAGCCACAAGCTATATGGTGGGGAAGGGGAATAATTTTGCTTAGGAAGTCATTCCGAGATGTAATATTTATCCTCTTGTTTCTAGGGAGACTGTCAGACTCGGGAGGAAGCTGTCGCACTGGGTGTTGGACTCTGCAATAATGGCTTCATGCATCATGGTAATGCATCAATATTACTTCCCACAGCCAATTAAAGGAGCTTTAATTTCAGTCAGATTAGCTGACTGTCTGAAAATCCCTTTTCTATAGGCTGTGCCATACCTGCTGATATGTACACAACTGCAGGCATCCCAGCAGGTCCTTCTAAAAAGCAGTCTTAGAGCTTACACAAAATGTCTAAACCTACCTTCCTGAGTGAATGCCTTTGCTAATCTTTATGATGAGCCCTGAAGTTGATTAGACAAGCTAGAAGAGGTATGCTTTTTCACTGCATCTATATCAAAGCCATCAGACCAATGCACAAGCCAAGTATTGTCCTGAAATATCACCAAGAAATGTCAGGTACAAAGTAAAATCACCTATTTCTTGCCACTTGGACCACAGGGACAATCCTCGGTGCCGAATCTCTGAAGCTTCCAAATCTGAAGTGCCAGATTGCCACGGTAGACATCATCCATCCTCAGTGATGTTGCTGTTAAACTGGGGAAGTAAACAAAGCACATCTGTATCAGTATCAAATAACATTTACAAAGTCCTAACAGTAAAACATAGTTTGTCCAATAAAGCATTCGGTGGTAAAGAACTTTGTCACACTTCCAGAAGTTTATAGTTCTTGTTTCCTTCTTGATTCCTTTTTAGGTTGAAAAGCCTCAGTCTATTTAGCCATCTCACCTATAAACAGCCATTTTACCCTTCTTTGCTCCTTTTTTAGTTTTACCATATTCATTTTGACATGGAAAAGGAGCATAAGGTTTTGAGTAGCATCTTTCATCCAAGAGGATCTTTTGCATTTTATATGCATTCTATGTGCCATGGAGGTCAAACATTGTATCCTGAGCTACTATGCACTGTGAAGAAAAGTATACCCTTGAAACACAGTAGTAACTTAGAAATATAGAGCTGGATAGATGGGTAGGGATGCATCTGGTCTTTGTTCTGTAAAGACTGGGGGAATATTTATGACTTCCTTTAACTACTTTTTTGTTTCTCTCTTTCTCTGTGTGAATGCATGTATGTATTTCATATATATTGTTTCCAGTCCTGGAGAAAAGTGAATTTAAGGACGAATCCTTATATTTCCGCTTTTATGCTGATGAGGAGATGGAAGGCACCAGTTCCAAAAGCAAACAATTACGTAATGACTTCAAGCTTGTGGAAAACATCCTGGGGAAGAGTCTTCTGGTAAGAAATATGTTAAGTAAACCTCAATGTTTCTGTGAAACTGGTGGTGTTTAATATAAGAGGAGAATGAGAAGGAAAATTATGATAGAATCAAATTAAAATGGGGAATTACACCTGTAGGTACATTTTTCTTCACTGCATGAAGAACAGTTCTTGAGCTACCTTACCGTAGAGCTCTGACTTTCCCTGCTGGGCAGACTACACGGTTTATTCTAGTAGCAAGGAAAATCTGTACGTTGCAGGCTGTCTTCTGTAGATGTAACCATCCTATAGCACTGCCTGGGAGCTTTGGATTTACAGCTCACACACAAACATACAAATGCATGTAAGTTCCTGCCTCGTTCTGCTAGGTCTCAAGAAAAGAAGAGACTCAGAGATATGACCACTTCAGCCAGTTCACAGCCCAACCCCTTTCTGTTATCATGAATCCCTTGAGAGAGCCTGGAAGTGAGCTGGGAGCTGGAGATGTTGTCCTAGCAGGCACCACAGTGTTGGGATGGTAGAGGAAGAAATGGGCACTGCTGTGTTGGGAGAGGTCTGCCATCACATTTAAACACCATTACATGTGAAGTAGATTCAGATGCAAGTTAAAAGACTGGTAATTACACAGCTATTTCAGGGCATCGTCTCAGTGGTATGAATAATACAGACAGATACTTGGATCAGGTATCAGCTTTACTTTGCTTATGGAAACCATTTTCCAACAATACTGTTCTTTATGTTCACACTTTTGCAACATTCCTGTTATCTCCAGATTCCCACCCCACTGAATGTCATCAAATTCCTTACTGCACTGGGATTATTTTAACACTAATTGGATTTGATAGTCAGATTGGTACAAACTCTGTTTTGAGATCCCCGTTTACTGCCAGTGGCTCCAGGCCCACATTTTCCTCCCTTTGAACACTGGCAGAATTTAGGAGCAGGATAAAAACTTGGGTCAGAAACTAGAAAAGCAGAATCGTTGGAACAGATCCAGAGGTCCACTGTATGGGCACATTTTTCCTGTGGTTCACGCAAACTTCACTGCCTCATGTTGTCTTGTCTCCCAGGAGACCAGTGGCCAGAAGTAATATTTAACACACCATGGTCCCTCCAGATTATCCCTCTCTGCATCCAGTGCCAGAGACTGGAGTGTCAGGTTAATACAATTATCCAGCAACTCTCCACGAGGATAAAGGGAAGCAGTTACAATTTGTGGGGTTTTTTAATTGCGATTTGAAAACCACTCCAAAATCAGTTACGTGTAAATTGGTGAAACTGCCATTTTTCAGGTATTTTTAATTTCCCCCCTTATCAAGACAAGAGCTTGAGGAAACAGATTGACTCATATGTCTTTTTTCTGTCAGTTCAGGGCACTTCTGTTGAAATGCCAAAACTCCGTGATGATATATTAGCTGTGAAATGAGGGATTTAAAGGTTCTTTATTCTTTTCTGTTAACATAATAATCATTTATTAGTATTCACTGAAGAGACAGAACAAATGAGCAAACTTCGCACATGGACTACTCTACTAGTGATTAATTCTAATCACTAATTGGTCCTTCCATGCCTTGGTAACTGAAATATTTGCAACAGGAATAATTTAATATTACTATTATTGTAGTTCTGAAGTGCATCAGTCAGACCCTGTTACAGTACCGTCCCATCTCAAAAAGTAAATGATCTGAAATCAACAGCACATGCTGAGAAAGGAATCTCCTCCTCAGAGGACATAGATTTTTGTCCAATGAGCAGCAGTCACACTGAAGTTGAGTTGCCATCACGTTCACAAATAAATCGGCCATCCCCTGAATGTCTGTGAAGACCTCACAAATAGCAATGCAATCAGGGCATTACACTCACCCACAAAATAAATGTGCCTGACTTCTGGTTTATTGTGTGTTTAGCAACTATTAGCAGCAGGAATCATGAGGCTTTGCAGTCTGTGGAACATCACTACTTGCCTCTTTATGCTCATAATAGGGCATTGATCCTTCCCATCCCCTGGTTCCACCATAGGAAGTTTAATAGAATTTCTTCAGTACTAGCTTTTGAAACATGCTCTTCTACTGCCACATAATCCTAGTTGTTTAATGGATAGCTTCCCCCACCCCTTTATACAAGTTTATTACAGGAGAGGTTGCTCTTGAAAACAGGAAAGAACAGAAACCTTGGCAAATATGGCAACAGAAATGCCAAGGGAAGACATGCTTTCACTCTGAAAAAATGCACTTTGAACAAAATTTAGTCATTACTTATTTGTGCAATTGTTTCTCATTGAAGGAAATAAATCTTGACAAACTGAAAAAATACACAGCATTCTTTGCATAGCTGACAAGAATTTGGATTTTGGATTGACTTCAAGCACTGGGACTTGGTTACTGCAGTGTTCTGTTAACTTCTGCTCAGCACCTCCTCTTGTCCGGCCAAACCAACCACAGTGCGAAGCAAAGCTGGTAGCTTGCAGCTCAGTGCCACACATGGAGACCTGCCCATGGGGATGATGGGCCTCTCTCACAGTTGCCCATGAGGTTTAATGCACACACAGTGCTGGAGTCCCCAGCAAACTCCAGTTTATCACTTATATAATCTCAAAGGAAAAGCATTTCCAGCAATTTCTAGAGATTATGATTTTTAGATAGTAGGCAGCATTATTATTTCAATTCATGTCCTTTCCAGTTTAAACCTGCTAATTCAATAAACATGGCATTCACCTTAAAATTCTTATGAAAATGTAGAATTAATTTCCCCTGATCATAAACACAGTAATTTGTATTACTCAAACAAAGCCACACTTAATAAAAATCTCTTCTGTCTTTAATAATTCATGGACAATTATTTTTGTGTTGTGACAATATAAAATTGCCCAACTCTGCAAAATCTCAGCAGAGAGCGAGCAGAAATGAGCTTTCCCTTTGTTCTTCATTGTACTCGCATCCCACAGTCTGTTGTAGCTTGGGAATTCAAATCACTGATTTTTAAAACACCCCTGGGAAAAGAGCCACTAATAAGAGCCCATCCTCTCGGGATTCCTGGTCTCCCAGGGAGACAGGCTGGCCAGGCAGTAACAAGAAGCATCCATCATCCAGGTGTATGTGGTGAGATAAGGGCTTTGAGTGGATTCAGACACTAAAAATTACAGTGAACTCTGAAGTGAAAAACATTCATTAGCTGTAACTCTTCCACTGTTCAGAATGAGTGGTTCAATTTCAGTGCCCAGTTTCAAAGTTTACAAACCAGAAGAAACTTTCAGTCATTTTGTATATATTAAGCCTGTTTTGCAGATGTGCCAAGCATACGTTTAAAGCTAAGAGCAGGAGTGGCTCTGGATTCTGCAGCTTCTCCCTGGGAAGAAGTATTGTCTTTTCAGATTTTGTTTTAGTGCCCCACAGCTGTGGAGCTTTTGGAAGAGTGGGGAGACTGGGACAACCTGGGCAGGAAAATAGCTCTCTTCAAATGAATGCTATTAAGTGCCACAGAAACCTCATCAGTTTAGTGAAGCATCCATATTTGATGTTATCTGTTACCTGAGAAGTCACTGTGCCTTAGGAAATTCTTAACCAGCTCATACTCTTCAGGTGTGTCCAACAGAGAAGAGTTTATACTGGAGAGCTGTAGGGGAAGGCTGTGAGAGGAGGATGTGTGTCCTGGACCCTAGTTTAGGAAATGGTGGTTGATCTGCCCATGCTGCCTCTTGCTGCTTCTGCTGTCCCCAGGACTGTAGGCTGAGGGTTCCTGCCTCTGTATGATACAGGTATAACAGACCACAGCTCTCTGCATAGCTTGTTGTCGTGTCCTCCTCACCCCCAGTTCTCTTTGACTATGTCCTGACTACATGTGCCCTCTGGATTTGATTAACCATGCTTATTTTTCATATGGTCCCATTTTTTTAACATGGTTGTATTTCAAGATGAAACAGCTGCTGCCTTACACTGAAAAAACTGATTGGATTTCAGGGGCACAGAAATAATTCTTGTAGATGGCAAGTTAGTTAATTGCTTTGGATTCCTTAGGGATGAACGGAGTTCAGCTGTGGAATGGCAAGGTATGCCTACTTCATAATAAAGAATGAATCATAGCCTCCTCCAGGTATTGCATATTGAATATTATCCATAGTCTACCTTTACATAAGCGAGTGTCCCCAGCACACAAGTGCTGCTGGTGTACAAAACATGAGATTTCTTTCTTTACTACATGGTGGTAAAGTTCCTGATGTTGATGCATTTGGGGTTTCTTAAAAGTGTTTTGGTTCTTTGCTTTCAAACAACATATTTTTGCAGTACTAATGAACAGAGAAAGGTAGGTTATTAAAAATGATAGCCTATTAAAGATCTTCATGCATAGCAATGGTAGCTGCACCCGAGAGACCATGTCACTTTGTGTAGCTGCTGGCTTCTGAAGTTTGGCAAATCAAAGCCTCTGATTTTTTCGGTATCTTTTTCACATATGCTTTCAAAATCCAGCAAGAGAAACCAAACAGTCCCTTCAAATGTAACATGAGCAGAGCTAGCCTAGAAATTTTCTACTTAATCCCTAATGGGAAGTGATACAAGTATATTTGGGCTGAAGCTCAATAATCTAGCCAGTGATAACCAGATTTTCTAAGCTGTCCTTTCATTAAACATGCATAAATAGCATTGTTTCTGAAAATATTTAGGTAGAACTGTCTAAGAATGGGAAACTTCTCTTTCAGTCTTTTTACTTTCCTGTCCATCGCTTAATCTCAGCATCATCTGATGGGGATTTTTTCCCTGCTCATATCCTGTCATGCATTGTTTTAACTCAGCTGTATTGCTCCTGCTGGAAAGGATGGTTCTATTTCTCTTTTTTCCTAAGGTGAACTCCAGCAAAAGGACAAAGCTTATGAACTGCTGGCATTGACTTGCATAGAAAACGGACAGTATTTTAAATTAGTGGAGGAATCATCAGAATCAAGGGAACAATTCACAGTAATTTTTTCCCAGTGGCATGCTAGATCATAGATAGCTTTATTTTGTCTTTTAACTCACTTCTAATTTATCAGATGGTTCTTAAATGGCTTCACTTGTCCATTTACCCAGGGCCAGGCTTGCTTTGCTTTGGTTTGTGTTTTTTGCACTGACAAGGGAGTCATTCAGCCTTTTTTCCCTTGTTAAGAAACCACAAAGAAAAGGACAAGGGAAACCTGCATTTGCCATGATTGATAGGGTTTGAAAAACTATTTATAAGGCAGGTCTGTGTGACCTCAGTGCACATAAGAGGAAGCAGATTCTTAGCAGCAAGAGCTACCAAGTCTCCTGTCAACCGTAAAAGGTGCAAACTGAGCACAGGCCATGAGTCTTGTTTTTCCCCTAACACAAATCTCATGTGTCTGCTCTTCTGGGGAGGGACCTACAGACGTCAGAAGTTGTTCTCTCACCAGTCACCCAGAATTTTAGCCTGACTACAACAATGTACATTTATGTGGTAGCTAGTGTTACCTACAATAGGCCTCAGATCCTCAATTTCTCTGAAGCTGATAGCTGAGAAGGAATCACAATCATTCCTTATCGGGTATGTGGGAGGTATTTTAAAAACTAAATAAATGATTACAGTCTGATCTGTAAGTACATTCACCAATGGAAAACACTGAATATTGATGAGTTCTGTAATCTAAAAGTGAAAGATCTAATGACAAATGAAGGGCTAGAAGTTAAACCCAGATTCAGTTTCTAAGAGAAGAGTTAATTAACCATTGAAACAAAGTCTCAAGGGCAGGAATAGGTTCTTCACTTCTTAAAGACTGCAGGTCATAATTGGGTAACTCTGGAAATTCTGCTATAGTATAGAAAGGGCTCAATGCACAAATAACTCAATTAGATTTTATGGTTCATATTATGTAGGAGATAGACCAAAAGACCTAGTAGCCCCTTTCACCCTTTAGAAGTATAAGTCTGTGTCAATCATGGCTTGCAATGAAAAGTCCAATTTCTCATCTGTTAGCTAACTCTAGGTTATGAAGCATTGCCTTGTGCTTTTTTTAAAGATCTTACCAGAAGAGGATGACTATGGGTTTGACATAGAAGAAAAGAACAAAGCAATTGTGGTGAAGTCAGTTCGACGCGGGTCTTCTGCAGAGGTAAGACCTGACATTTATTAGTATTTTGGGTTTGGTACCCAAGAATATTTTAATGCTTTAAAAAGGTACAAAACCATCCTTTGAAAGTCTGATTCGTTTTAATAATAGCTAATAGAAAATTGGGTGTCTTCTACAATTTCTGTGGTAATAAACTGTTTCTATAAACTACCAAGAGATTTGGCATATCTGGGTGACTTCCTGAGTGTTTTTCATAAGTGATAGGATGACAGCAGTATGGGTGTGATGGCCACATACCTCGGGTTCATTAGGAACTTAAATTTGAGGAGGGAGACAGACTAACAGTCTTTAATCTTAGACACACACTGTCTAATGTTTCTTAGGCAGGTGAATTACATCCCAGCAGAGCAGCAGATTTTTATTTGAAAGCTGATGGTTTGTGGGGTTTAATACAGGACTTTGTACCTCATACATGCATGGATTTGCTATGATTGTGTGCGCAGATAGGTATCCTGTATGCACCAGCACTAAGTTACGAATATGAAGATGTCACCCCCAGGTAGAATGGTTGCAGGTATGCAAAGAGTTTAACTAATTACACATACATTGTAAGTGCAGGAGCTACACTGGGAATATCAGGCCTAGAACATAATGACTTCAGAAATGTATATAGTAATTATTTCTTTATAATAAACTCATCAATGTAAGTACATGCAATTAGCAGAAACTTTTCCACTGAATTATAAACCAAAGTTTTTCAAATTCTACCTTAACTTAAAATCTCTATTGCTAGAGTAAGCACTTAAAACAGTTTTTTATCACTGCTTTAGAACAGGTTACATGTGTGACTAGGTATAGATCGGGTTTGCATGGGTAAAAAAGTTGTCCTTGGCTCCCTATGCCTGAGCTGTAAGTTGTGGGAAGTCACACTTCCGTATCTCACAGGTCATCACAGCCAGTCTGTTACAGTCTCCTATTCTTTAGCCTGTCCATGCCCCCACCCCCTTTTAATAGTCTCCTATTAAAAAAAAACTATAGCAAAGAAGTACAAAGATGCACCCATTGCAAAGTCAGACACATCTGTGGCGGCGTATTTATTCAGATATTGGTGAAATCTCTTTGTTTCCTGTAAATGCAGAAAACTTTAGGGTGACTGGCAAATGATTTGATGAACCAACATTGTATGTACAGTATTCCATGTGACAGTAATCCTAGGAACAGCCGTAAGTAGAGAACTGTTGAACCTTGGAGCCTGAATGTTCAGAGATGCTGCCAGTGATGCCAGGTTTTCCATGGTTTTGTTCCATTGCAGATGGCTGGCCTGCAGACGGGAAGGAAAATTTATTCTGTCAACGAGGACTTGATATTCCTACGCCCATTTTCAGAAGTGGAAACCATCCTGAACCAGTCCTTCAGCTCCCGAAGGCCGCTTAGGCTTCTGGTAGCCACCAAATCAAAAGAGTAAGTGCCAAGATGGGCAGAAAGAGAAGACCATCTAGAAACATCAGTTACTAAATAGCTCTTCTACAGTTGATAGTTAAAACTGTGTAAACATTTCCCTATGCAGAAGCTGCTCAAAACAAATGACATGAATGATTGTTTTTAATGATGAGCTTTGTGCTTCTAGAAGAGGTTGGGATGTATTTTCTGTTGTATTTGCTGTTAACTTCTGGCTTCCTTGTGCTCAAACAGAACTGAAGCACAAGGATTATCATTGTGTCTCAGGTATGAAGCTTCTCAGATGAAAAGCAATTTCCACCCTATTAAAGCTTGGCTTATTTTTGAATGACTCTAATGATATCAACCCTTATGGTTTTTCAGTCCATTATCTTATAATAAGGCTTCAACCTGTTAATCACTTGAGCATTATTAGATTCTGTAATCCCAGAATTTGCCATAGAATTGAATGTCTCAATGAGCACTTGATGCTGAATTCTAGTCCAGAAGGTCCTGTCCAGTCTATTTTTATTTTTTTAATGGAAAAGATGCTCAGCTGGTGTAAGTCAGCACAGCTGCCCTGAAATTTCTGCCTAGAAATGGAAGTGCATATAAATAGCACAGAAAGTCTCTGTCCTGTGTACTCACAGAATTAATACATTTGGAAGTGCCAAATTTTAATTAACAAAGAGAATCTCCCATCTGCGTTGGGGAACAGCGATGGAGCTGGATGATTTCTTCAGGTCTATTTATTTGTTACTTATTTGTAAATTATGTGGGTGCTTTATTTAACCACAAACACGGTTGTGAATGCTGGGGAAAGATGCTGTTAGAGCTGCCCAGAGCTCTGGCAGCCTAACTGAAAATGCTGTATTCTTTTCTCCTTAATTTACCTGCAGGATTATTAAAATCCCTGATTGTCCTGAAGCACTTTGCTTTCAGATACGGGGAGCAGCACCACCATATGTTCATGCAGTAGGAAGAGGTAAGTGGAAAGGCAGTCATACAGTTAAGCTTGGAGTACAGCTAAATCTATATACATGTCTATATAAAAGTGTGTGTGTGTATGTATTTATCTCAATCAAAACAGATCCAGGTTTCATTGACAAACTTGTTCTAAAGTTCTGATAATTTAGTGGCTGTAAAGACCCTGTCACAGAGGAGGATCGCACTCATATAAAACCACAGAACAAGTTCCTGCCTCAAAGTTCTTATAATCCAAATACAGTGTAAGAGAATGGTATCATTATTATGAGCTGAGTGTTGGGTCACTAATCCATCCTATCAACACAAAACTAGGCATAACTTAATTCTACAGTAGAAGAAACGTGATTCTGCAATCCACAGTAGGGAAAGCATTATCACTTGAGCTCTTGCAAGCTGGAAACTTGCTCGCTGAGTGAATGTAACCTTGTTTCTTTTAAGACTACTAAGGTAGTACAGCTTCACAGCCCCAGGGAATGACAATGTAAAACTGAGGTGGCTAAGAAAAAGTTGAGGTGTAATGCTGCTTCCTCAGTGGTTTTGCCTGTGGTCAGGGAGAGTTTGGATCACTGTAGCTCTGAATGTGCTGTGGGATCAGCAGGTTGGTAGATAGATCATGTTTCTTAGTGGACATCAAAATATAATATAAGACTTCAAGACTATTACCTTTACATTGGCTTATACTGCTGTAAGTTACCAGTGTAAGGTAGAGGGGAACTGCTTTCCTCAGTCTTTTGAAAAGGACAAAACAGTTTGACTGAGATATTTAGTACTTCTGTAACTGAAATGTGAACTGAGCTACAAATAAAGCACAGTTCTTACCTTTATTTTCAGCAGATGTACAATATATGACCTTTCAGACACTTCCTTCCTTCAGAACAAATACATACATCCAGATACATGCAGTTAGTAAACAGGCAGCAGGCAACCCAGCTGCAACAAATGATGTTACCAGGGCAACGTATTTATTACACTTTTTCTTACCAGCACCTCTAACTACTTTTACAAGCTGAAGAGTACAAACTGGAAGCACCAGCTGGAAAGATTCTCCCTGTTCAGGATTTTGCTGGCAAAAGAAAAACTGCGTTTGGAATAAACCTGCAGGAATTTTAAATGATGGTGCCTTAATAAAGTTAATCACCTTAACTGTAGATCTCAAGGAGAGAGAGAGAGATAGATAGATTGATTGATTTGGGCCTGAGTCTTGTACATGTGAATCTGGAGTAAATCCTTTGAAGTTGGTTATTGCACTCTGGACTTACTCTAGTTTTATATATATCATAGGGTTTTTTTCTTAGATCATGGCAAATTGCATAGTGTGCAAGTGTTCTGTATCTTTCAAGTGCAAAAGCTGAAACAAATACAACTGTCTGCATTTAAGTAAGACCTCAGTTAACATAATCATAGGGCTAGAAGAGCCCTATAAGAATCCCAATTATTTTCCACAGGAATTTCAATTTCTATCATGAAAGCATTTAGATCTAGGAGGTCTCTATTTTGCCTAGCACTACTAAAAATACAAAGGACAGATGAATGGTATTTTCCTTATACATCAAAGCTCTCAAGAGTAAATACTTAGCAGCAAAAGCATGGCAGCATCCAGCTAGCTGCTCTTACTCTTCTTAACTGAAAACCTTTTACAGACTTTCCTGTTTTCCCTTCTACAGTCAAATAGTTTTACTGTCTAACTCCTGTGCTGTTGATTTTTCAGGCTCTGAGGCTGCAGCTGTAGGCCTACATCCAGGACAGTGTATTTTGAAAGTTAATGGGAATAATGCAACACATGGAAATTATATGGATGTTCTGGAGCACTTCACAGCCTACAGGACCAGACAACAGGAAGCACTGGTATGAGTACAAAACCTCAAAGTACATGAATTCCTGCTCTTCTTCTGTCCTCTCATTCTTCTGTGCTTTTATGGTCACTAAATATGCAGAAAAACAATGTATATGTGTCTCTCTTGACTTATTTACCCCCAGGCCAAGGTCCTGGTATAACTGAGGGAGCTGATTACAGTTGCCTGTAGGTGCAAAACATCTACAAATAGTATGTATGCCAATTCATACACTGCATACAGTACTAGATATTACTAATGCTAAACTAGAAGTTCATCCAGATATTGGTCTAGATTTTATATTCTCTGAAGTTCAGAGAAAAGCTGGGGAAATGTTTGATATTTCAGCCAACTTAGAAGATATAAAATTGGTATCTTTTGTAGACCAAACATATAGAGACTGGGGATTTTTACTGAAGTCATAGCTGAAGCCTGTGTCTCTTGAAAGGGATTATACCAGTGGGTGTACAGAACACACGAAGATGCTGAAGAGGACAGAGTTCAGCAAGCAGCATCAACTGCGTATCTGAATGGCAGTCATCCTGGCTCCAGCAAAGAAGATTCATCACTGGAAGAAGGTGCAGAATTGGATCCCCTTCAAAACAGCCAACAGGAATTAGGTAAAGATTCTCCTGGGGGAAGGAAACCTAGGGATGATTCAGAAGCTTCAGGAAGGAAAACCACAGTAGAAATACAAAGTGTGATTATTATTGTAGGATATCTTTTGTCTTAGTAAAGCTTTGTCATAGAATGAGGTCTGTCAGAGGAAGTACTCTTGGGCTGCAGTTTGTTCAGGAGAAGGAAAAACTGAGATACATAGAAATAATACCCCTGTGTCTCTGATTTCACGAGAGAGTTTCTGATGTGAAAAGGCTCAGCATTTTTAGAATCATTTGGTAGCCCCTGCAAACCAGGAATATAATTTCACATTTTAAGATGAAAGACTTTAAGTTACTTTGATCTGGAGCAAGTTTTCAGAGCATGTTACCACTGTATCAGCAAAAGGTGTGAGTGTATTTCCTCATACTTAGAAAAATATAACTCATAAAATCCATCACTTTCATGTTGAGAGCTGATTTGGTAAAGTAGATGTTAGGGGAGAATACTGAGGGCAGATTTTATCCAAGGGACCAAGCCTGGATTCTCTGAATGCCATTGGCAACTCCTCCAGGAACAGATGCACATCTGTGCGGATCCTGTCTAAGGTCAAGTGAGCCTGGTAATCCAGTGGTCAAACAGGGCAGCTCCGCAGCGGAACTGCTGGATCAGTGCCCTTTAGAGGCATGTGAGCAATTCTCTGGCAAATCTCAATCTACTGTAACTTGCATCTGTTCTCTGGTGACAGCAGCACTGCTGTGTGTAGAAAATGTTATCTCCTCACCCCACCCCTGCCCTGCCATCCCACATTGTCTGTGCTGCTATAAAACTATCTGGATCATTTCCCAATATTGGACAGAAAAGTGGCAGTCTTCCAGAGGGTCATTACAAACAAGACCCTGAGGTTCACATACTTCACTGTCCTGTGAAAGCTTCTGCTGGGCTCTGTGTGTCTGAATGCTGAACAGAACTATAAGCAGTGTCCTGTGTGTGGATGTGTGCACGCACACATGGAAGAACATCAGAATTTGTGGATTGGAGCATGTGGATTCTCTGTCACTGTCTCCAGTAGTGGCCAACAGCAAGTGCCTTCCTCCAGGATATTCTCCCAGCCTCTAGCAGCATTATTTAGTTCAGAGACTCCTGGATCCAAAGGTTGTGTCTGTGTGTGCATTTAATGATACCTCCCAACAGGTTTCCCTTCCCTATTCATGCCTGTGCTCAGATGTGCTCTCAGATGCCTCTAATGACTTATTTTGGTTCCAGCCCAGTCACCACAGACCATCAGCTCTCCACTGGTGATTGGTGAAGAAACACCTCTCATCAGCCTGACTGTGGATAACACCCATTTGGAGCATGGGGTGGTGTATGAGTATGTCAGCAGTGCAGGAATCAAATCCTTTGTCCTGGAGAAAATTGTGGAACCAAAAGGTTGCTTCAATCTCACTGCAAAGGTACTGGGAAATAAACATACATGGCCAGCTTCATTCCTAAACAGAACAGGGAAGCCAATAATGCAGGCATTTCTCTGGTCTTGGCTTGGCTTTTCAGATGAGGTAGCACATGGTCTTCTCAACTCTGTGCTTAGAGTTTTCATCATTAGAATGCAACAAGTTATAATTGTTTGTACAAGCAAGTCAGCAACTGCTTCCAACTCAACTTCAGCTGCTGAGGTAGAGGGAGGGGAGCCATCAGCTGATACTCAAGATTAATATTTTCAGGCAAGAGTCAGCTTTACCTTGGAAGAAAATCAAGAAGCTTTTTCCCCATCTGATAAGCCCGATGGGTTGCTGAAGGAATCAAGTAGAACTGCTGCTATTGGAAAGCAGCAGTGCACTTAGTATTTTGGTCATCTGTGTCTGTAATGAGCTAATAGTAACTGTTTCTGTCACGTCCCAGTAACATTACTGTTCTGTCCCATGACAGTACCAGGGTAGGTAACCTCGACAGTGGGTATTTTGATCCACTTGAATTAGTCTAAAAACTTTTGAGGAGTGTTTTATGACTCTGGGATTAGCCATGACAGTGGTTCTCAGGCGCTCATAAAGGCAGCTTGTTCTGAAGGCAGCTTTATTCAGCCATGACAGCATGGGGGCTTTGCCATTTACTCAACTGTATTTTCCCTCGCTGTCAAGTCTCGTATCACTGACATCCTGTCTTTTTGTTCAGATTTTAGAGGCCTTTGCTGTAGAGGACAATCACTTCGTAAAGAATTGCAAAAGACTCATATCCCTGAGCAGCGCGGTGGCCACCATGCCCCAGTATGAATTCCGGCAAATCTGTGACACTAAGCTGGAAAGCATTAGCAGGAGGCTAACCAACTACCAAGAGGTACAACACTACTGGTTATTAGTGAAGCCTCAAGACAGTACTTACTTCATTGTGATAACTTGGTTTTAGTGTTCTTTATTAATGAATCTCAACTGCTAAAGGTAGGTGTCCTAGAGGCATGAAAACAGCTCTGCAAGTTGTTGGAAATTGTAAGCTTTGAGGAAAAAAACCCTTATCTGTAAATCACTGCTTCCAGCTTGTCAGTGTGGGTTATATTTGCAGGTTCATTTCCAACATATCAGTGAATAAATATGACAACAGAATGATCAGTTATCTGATTTGACATGAACTTTAAGTACAGTACATCACAGTGTAAACAAGCTGTGTGTGCCTTTTCTGTGCAGTTACCTCAGATACTTGCAAACAGAGCCTTAGAAGGTACAGCCAGTTGCTTTCATTTACTGTTTTAGGAGCTCTTTAAAAAAACGCAGTTTTCCAACTGCCGCAGAAATGATGTGATTCTGGAACAGGAGGCAGGAAAAGGATTGTCTGTATTGCATCCGAATTTTTTGCAAGTGAACTAGCACATGCTTTGCTTTATTTCTCCCAGTTTGCAGATGACTTGAAAACAAAAGTGAGCCCAGCCTTCAAACAAGCCATCATGGAACCACATTCTCTCAACAGCATGGATTTCTGCCCCACCAACTGCCATATTAACCTCATGGAGGTGTCATACCCCAAAAACACTACCTCAGCAGGGAGGTCGTTCAGCATTCGCATTGGACGGAAACCCTCTATTATTGGTCTTGATCCAGAACAAGGTGATAATTAACTTTCAAATCACACTGATTTTATCTGCATAAAGAGTTGTCTTTCCACTGCTCAGTAAGGTCAAAATAAGTTCCAAAGAAACACAGTCTTGTCCTCCTGTTGTAAAACAGCAATGCCTTTAAGCATAGAGTTGCTTCAGGTGAAATGCTTTTAATAGCAGTGTGGTCACCTCGTGATAATGAAGTGTCCAGAGTAGTGTTTGCACTTGGCAGAGGTGACTTACTGACTAAAAGAAAAGTGTTTGGGGGCTGATTATTGTGCTAGTGCTGTGAAGACAGGCTGAATTTGCAGGGGAAGATGGGAGTCAATCAGATTATAGTGCTGGGGTTTTTTTGTCATTACTAAATAAACTCCATTCACTGGAGCTGGTAACTTTACTCTGTCAAGAGGATCTATTTTCTGATAAAAGCTGCTACATAGCATTTGTCCTACAACCTGATTATTTCAACATTTCTTCATCATGATCTCATCTGCTTCTGGTTCATTGTCTTATGAAGGTCAGAGTGCAGGAATATTTGGAAGAGACACAGGGAAGCGCAGACTAACCAATCTTCCGAAGAATGGCACTGACCATTCCAAATGAAGTCGATAAAGAAGCCCTGCTTGCTTGAAGTTATTAAAATTCCATAGTGTTTTTAATGCAAGCCAAGGTGGTGGTTAGCAACGTACCATGCCAAAGCTATCAGCATTTTTAAATGAAAAGGAACTTTATTTGTATTCTGTAAGGACCTAATCCTGTTTTTTTGTGTGTGTTTGTAAAGCTGGAATAATAACACAGACCAACCCCTGAGAACCTGAATTCGTTAACGTTTCAACAAATGCTTTTAGATACTGTCCATGTTGCCTATATATCTGTGGACAGTTGCTGTCATTATGTACATAATTTAACCTGTTTCTGGACTGCAGTAAATGCAAAAAATCTAGTTGGCACACCAGGAAAAAAAATCCTTCTGTTTTTTTAAGGAATGTTTTTGTCATAAAAGGTAATTATGTAAAATAATTCTGTGAAATCCTATTTTTTTTCCTGTTAAAATTCCACCTATCTTAAACTAAATGTAACTAAACTTAAATCATTATTGGGATGGAGCAAGGAAAATAATGAGAGCCACACTAACTAGACCCTTCAATGTTCAGTAGGTACCTTAAATCCAGTCTCATATACTCAGCATTGCATCACCACCATGGCTGCACCGTCCTGGAGATGTCTGACCCTAGAAGATGGAGATCTTGACAGCAGCTTTGGCCAGCAGAATGGAGGAGCAATTCAGGAAGAAAGGGGACTCAGTTTTCTGCTGAAACAGGAAGATCGGGAGATACAGGACTCCTACTTGCACCTTTTTAACAAACTTGACATTGCAGTGAAGGAAATGAAGCAATATGTCATTCAGATAAATAAGTGAGTAAAGCATCTGTATGTGCTGCAGGGAGCAGTGCTGACAGAATGGAGGCACTAACCTCAGCCAGCCCGCTGTGCCTGTTGGCCCTGACTGTCATACCCTTACACTTGCCCCTTCACACAGACACTTGCGTTCCAGCTCCTTGCTGTGTGAAACCTACTTATGTCCACTCTACCAATGTATATATTATTGTCTTTTGCTCCTCAAAGTCTACCTGAATTCAACAGCCACTATTTGCTTACTATATATTCCAATATAAGAATCTATTTGGTGCAAAGAGCAGGTTTGGAATTCCATATAGACATAATCCCTACCCTTGAGATTTTGTCTGTTGTAAGGCAGGCTAAACAAAACTTGTGAATTCAGGCCAGTTTCTCTGGGGCACCTATGTTTCCCTTTCCTCTGTTTGTCTTTTCTCATTGTGGATCTCCCAGTAATTCTAATGAAGGATTTGAGTACTGTATCTGTGTATTGTGCAGCTTTGCTGGGAGGGGCTGCAGGGGTGTCCTGTGCAGGAGGAGCCCATGATGTGCCCTAAGCTACTTGCAGTCACTCCCAGGAATCTCAGTAACAAAAAGAACAGCCCATCATGCACCAGAACTTCAACTGACTGGAATGCCTGGCTCAAACATACTTAAAGAAGGGTGGTAGCTGCTGGGTAGAGCCAGTGAGCTGAGGAAACTGCCTGAGAGGAGAAACAAGTGCCTTTGATGGAGAAAGTCAGGACTCTGGCTAATCAAACTCAGAGCCTTTTCAGGCCATGCTGGTTACAGTGATTAAACTACACCCTGTGGAGGTAGGGTACCTATGGAAACAGGACCTTTTGTGAACCAAGCTTCATGGATTTCAATGAACCCCCTTTAGAACTTGCAGTTTCAGGTAACTGTGGTCTATGCAGAATGCTGGCAAGGTTGCTTCTGATTTTACAGAGCTGAATTCCAGCCTTATTCATTACACACACCAGTCCCTGAGAGCTCTGTGTTCTTCTTCTCCAGACTTTTGTCCACCATAACAGAGCCTACAGAAGGTGGTGCCTGTGAGCCGCCATCTACTGAGGAGACATCTCCACCTTCCCTGGGAACAGAAGAGAGTGATCCTGACAAAGCCGAGCATGGTGGGATCAAGAAGGTCTGTTTCAAGGTTTCTGAGGAGGACCAGGAAGACTCTGGCCAGGACACAATGAGTTACAGAGACTCCTACAGGTTAGTGTAAAGATTGTGCCACTTTTCCCTTACTAATACAGTGTTCTGAAGTTCTAATCCATGTATGGATTCAACAAACAGGTTATTTCCCAGTCAGTCATTCTGTATTCACTTTCTAAAGTATTCACTAGCTATAGTTATTTCATTACATTTATTGCCATGGAGACATACACAACACAAACCTTCCCTCACAACAATGCCAGAAGGTTAATGCTTCTAGAAAATAGAATAAAATGAAATAAATAGGTCTGGTGTGACTTCCCTTTCTGTGTCGTGTAGCTGGAAAGCACAGCAGTGCAGCAGAGTTTGCAGACTGCCTGGTCCTGTAACAGCCACTGTTGTAAGGGGATGTTTCCATTCAGTTCTGCAAACAATTTTCCCAAAGTCTCAAGACACTGAGAACCAGAAGTGGGCATTGATGTTTTTGTTTTTAATGGGCCTTTGAAACCACAAATGCAAATGTTTATTCAGGTGCCTCAAAATCTAATCTTTGGGACACGATTGACTGCTGCTTCTCCAGGAATGTTTGCTACCAAAGGAAATCTCAGACACTCCAAATGCGTCTTTCCTTGGAGGAAACATTCAGAAACTCAGCTTCAGAAGAAACGGAATAACGAGTTGCAGTCATGTCTGACCATTGCAGTGTTACATCCTTAATAGGCCATTCTTACAGTAATACTGTAGGACTTTGCCTACACACAGGAGCAAAGGCACTTCACAGTGAGCTGGGAGGATTACTGTGACCTGCTATGGGCTTGGTTCTTTCCTTGCTCTTGGTCTTGTGCTGGTACAAGTAGTAAAACGTAACATTCATGCAGGACTGCAGAAATGATGGAATCAGAGCAGTTCACATCGCAAGGTTCTCTGGAGCCCATGTGGTCCAGTGTTATTCAGAGCAGATCCAACAAAACTGGGTTGCTCAGGATGTTGTCCAGTTGAATACTGAACATCCCGAAGGGCAGCAAATACTAAGTCAGTAAAGAAACAGAAGTGCCACTTAGAGTGTTGGGATCTGTGGCTTCTGTCTCTTGTGCCAGATTAAATCTGCACTGATGCTCTTAAGGTTTTATCGAAATGTGCTATATTTCTTTTGTTGTTAGAATCCCATTTCTGAGCAGTTCAATTGAAATGGCTAATTGATGCTAATTGTTCTGGGTAACAAAGTGACACCACAAACAGTCTCTGCGGGGCTGTCACTTGCTCAAGAATTCTACACATAGATGTAAGATGAGAAAGATTATTCTGTCTTATCTTTATTAGACAGAGGCAGAGAATTAAGCATATATTACAGATAATAGTTACTCAAGAGGCAGTAAAATGTGTTTTGATGGGTTTTGATCTAAAAAACTACTGAGGAGCTACAGAACTAAGCAAATTACAGATAAGAAAAACACCTTGTTTACATTAGCTGTGCTGCTTTCCATGGGATGATTTGGAGGTGTAAATCAAATGGCACAAGGGTTCATACTGCAGACTAGTTACCCTAAGTATTAATCTTCTTCAGAAAATATACTTTTCTTTGATACTAGGTTTAACAAAGAACAGGGAGGATCCTTGATTGGGTTTCTTTGAATTGCTCTTGTTTTTTTCCCTCATTTCAGTCTAAAATAAAAACAGAGGAAAAAAAAATCTGGAGCATTTTCTAGGCTTTGTTTTGGGCTTGCAGCATTAAAACCACTCACACTTAATTGGAGGGGAGCTGAGATCTGCAGCTTTTTTGATTACCTTTATTAAGTTCTAGTTGGTGTAAAGTGACTTTAAACAGGGGAGACTCATGCTAGAATTTCCAGGTGTGCATGAGCCAGCACTGGTGTGAAGCCAAATGTAGTGACCCCTCTGCTTCCCGAGGTGGTTTTAGGATCTGCAGTGCCCGGTTCTGTGACAGTATGGATTCCTTGAATTTCCTCTGTGCTCTCCAGAAGCTGTGCTACTGCAGCTTCCTTCCAGCCGGGAGCTGGGTGATGTAATATCCTGAGGATCGGTAACCAATGTGGAGTTCAGTGGAGGTTCACTCTCGTAGATTTTAATTATTTCTCCCCTACTGCACACTCATAGAGCACGTTCAGTGACATGACCCAGGTGAGGTCCATGGTGGAAAGCCCATTTTCATTATTTACAGGGTCCAGGTGACTACAAATGGAACAAGAGATCCTCTTACAGTGCTAGCCCCAGAGGCTTTGCTTAATGGTTGTTCTGCATGTAACGGGCTTTCCTATATGAGTAACTGAATTAGTCTGGGGGACTGCAGTGTTAATAAAACCAGAATAATGGTATATCAGGGACAGCTTGTTTTGTATCACCTTTTTTGCCTTTCTTTCTAGTGAATGTAACAGTAACCGGGACTCAGTGTTGTCATACACCAGTGTGCGGAGCAACAGCTCTTACCTGGGCAGCGATGAGATGGGATCAGGTGAGAGCACTGTGTTGGTTAGGTGCATCTCTCTCACACCAGACCCCCAGCAGAGCTGATAGGTCTTTGCTGATTATAAGCACTTGCATGTTTCAGCTGCAGATGTGGTTTCTTCAAACTAATCAAAAGAACGCAAGAGATTTGTTCTTTCCCTAATGAACTACAGTAAATTTGGAGTATGGAAGAGGTACTAGGCAGGGATAAGCTTCCTTACTTATTGGGCATTTGCATTATAAGAAAACCATTAATATTTTACCTATGAATTACAGATAAAGCAGCATCATTTTTCACCCTTCACAGTGTGAAGGTGTGCTTGTGTCATATGTGGCCTCATCTCAGATTATGTTTGTAAAGTTAAAAGCTTTCCATCTTTCCTTTATTAGGAGATGAGCTTCCCAATGATATGAGGATTCCTTTAGACAAGCAAGACAAACTTCATGGCTGTCTGGAACATCTGTTTAACCAAGTATGTAAAGCATTACTCTTACTCAGAATTACTTTATCAGTATCAATACAAGAAATTGGAAGTATCACATTGTTTAATTAAACCATAATTTGAGAGAAGGCAAGTTATCAAGATTTTGGGGTACAGTGCAAGCAAGTGTGCTGTAGGGCAGTTGAAGGAATTGGTCTTGTCAATATTTAAGTTCCTTTGTGTGATTTAAGCAAGGTTGACCTGCCTTACCTCAGGCATTAGACCAAGGGGAAAAACGAAGAAGGCAAACAAAATTCTAGTACCTTGTGTGGTCTAAATGGATTACATTTACTGATCTCAGGAGAGTCCTCACATGTTTACACATCTATATAGATGTATAGCGCCAGATAACACTGACTGGAAATATTCCAATTACAGGTTGACGCAATCAATGCACTTCTAAAAGGACCAGTGATAACTAAGGCCTTTGAAGAAACCAAGCACTTTCCAATGGACCACAGTTTGCAAGGTAGAGAAAAAGGCTGATTGTATTGAACAATGTTATCTGCTAGGACTTAAGAGCTTAACATGAGTGCACATATGTTGTGTGGCCACACAGAGTTACACCAACAGCAGGTTATGAGCCTGACCATTGAAATACTGCATCCTTAAAAAGTCATGTTCATATGATTTCCTTCTGAAACACACCAAACACTTTTCTGTTAGATGCAGCTGAATCCTCAGAGCTCTTTCACAAGTCTCCAAATCTATCCTTTGATGTAAACAGCAGATCACAGATCTGTATCAGCAGGTACTATCTCAAAAAGTACAGGGTGAGATAGGTCAGGTACAAGGTAAATGAGCACTCTGATAAGGTGATGAGGGTCTGACCACTGTAGATCTGAGGCACCAGAAGGTTCTGTCTGAGTTTGCTTAATGACTTACTCTGCTTCATCTGGATGACTGCCAGAGTAAACTCATCCTCACATGACACTTATTTTGAAAACAGATTCCCATAGAGAACAAATGATACCATGTTTCCTTTTGCCTCAGGGAGCACCATGAGACTTCAGTCCTAATGGTTTGGGGGCCCAGGATGTGGTTTCTTCTCTCACTGAAACACACAGGACTTTTGCTGAGCATTTGCTGCATTTCCTTTCCCACTTGAAATCTGAAATATTTCCTGCTATTCCTACTGCACTTCAGGTGCTGCAGTCACAAGCAGAGAGCTGCTGCTTTTTCCTTCTGACTCCAGAAATGAAGTTCTGTTACATGAACTCATCTCTACAAACACTTTCATGTTTATGTAGCATATCTGTTAGTCTTTCCATTCACTGTTTGCATGAAGTGAAGAAATAACAGACCCTTCCTTTATTTTATTTTGCTTAAACAGAGTCTCATTTATTAAAACTAGATTAAGTACACTGCAAGAGTCTTTTCATGAACTGATGATCCCACCTTTATCACACTAAGGAACACAGGCACCCTGCTTAAATTCAGCTGGAATCCTGGCCTTAAGTGGTTGTTTAATAGCTGCCATGAAATCCATCTATTCAGTGATGGATGGGGATTTGAATGCTGTTTGTCCTGTTCATGAGCAGTTATTGGCACAGTCTTTCTCCATTTCTCTGTCTGCTTATGCATTTTATCACTAACAGTGGGGTAGTTGGCTTAGCTACATAGCGAAGTCACGGAGAATCGATCTTCTACTCTGAAATTAAATAATATGCTTCCATCAAGTGAAAGAAAGCAGATTATTTCGTAACTTTTCATCAGTATTACGGGATGTGACAGCTGCAGCCAAAGGCTGATCTGATTCTGCGCAGCCAGAGCTTCTGGATGTACCCAGAGTAGCCTCGTGCACGTTTTTAAAGGCAGAAAAAATGGCAGGGAATTCTGTGCTGTGTGAGTGGCGCAGAACTCCCCTCACTGTGCATGTGGTCACCCATATCCATAACCTCTAGTCCACACACTGACAACTGTGCTAGGAAACTGCTGACTGTGACATTATAGGAATAGTCTTCTTTCCTTCCATATTAGAACTATTTAAGAACCTTTTTCATTCAAAATCATTGCTATTTATAAGGTATGTCTGCTTCCAACTGTATACACACTATAATTGATAAGCCACTCTCAGCTCTGTAGCATTTCCTCAGTGGCTAATGAGCTCCATTTTTCCTAGAATTTAAACAGAAGGAGGAAACCACAGTAAGGTGCCGGAATAATATTCAAGCCAGCATTCAAGAAGATCCATGGAACCTTCCACTGCGCATCAAGAACCTTGTTGAAATCATACAGAAGCATGTGGAAGGTCTGTAAATAAGAAAGAAAAAGTTTGTTATTGGCTTCAGGGAGAAAAGATCTTGATCTAATCAAGCCTAGCAGTTCAGTTTATCATTGTATCATCTCCATTGGTAATAAGCCTGTGCAAGGATCTAGAGAACAGGTAGAACAGGTTACTGCTTGCAGAGTCCCAGTACCCTTTGGTAAAATCTCCCCTGTGCAGCAATTCCAAAGAACTTTCTCTCCCTTACTTTATTTCACCAGCCCGTTAAGACAGAATGGTATCAGACTGATCTGTTTCCCTGTGCTTTTTGTACCCTTTTTAGAAAATGGAGAGAGGTATTCCAAAATGAAATGAATGCTAATCGGATACTGCAGCATCCTAAACCATTGCAGCTTGGGTGGACTGGAACAGGAGCTCATCTGATGTTTACAGTCCAGTTCAAAGTTCAGCAGAAATCACCTCCTTAGGGATACATCCACATGCAATCTGCTTCCAATAATTCACAGCAGTTAGCAGAGCATTTAGCCTGTAAAACTCTTTGATTTACACTTGGTTTCTTTTTCAGTCATTAACATCTGTGTAAGGACTACCAGAGTAAAGAGAAATGGGCACGTGGGGGCCAAGCACTGTGGGGAATGAGGAGACTGTTAATCAAATGCACTCAAAGCTCCCATGTTGACCACAGCATTCTCTTTCTTCACTGTTCTAGATGGGAAGAACCAGCTGCTTCTGGCCTTGTTAAAATGCACAGGTAAGGGGTTTTGATTTGTTACAAAACATCATACATACACAAGTCCCTAACGCATGCATGTGCATGCATGTGCATACATCAGAATATTATGTTCTTCCGTAACATTTAGGTTTGTCCCTGGCATTTATGCTAACACTGCTCATGCTCTGTACCTAGGGCAACCTTCCCATCTGTTCTTCAGTTTACATGATTTCAGTCACTGCAAGCTGCTTGTTGTTACCTGCCTGGTCACTGATGTTTCTTTCACAAGCACTGTTTTTCTTTTACTGTCTTCATTTTTTCCTTTGTACAATCCCTCTTCCCAGATGGCCCTTACTGTTTCCTGCTGTGGTGAGAACATGCAGCAAAAATGAGACCTATTGCACAACTTTCTGTGAGACTGGACTCTGTCATCTTTCCAAACTGAGCGGGCGCGTTAGGCATCAGAACTGTGTATACTGAAAGCACAGCCAGAAGCAGACTAAGAAACCTGTGTGTGCAGCAGCACCTAAGATGCACCATGAGCATCATCAGTCTGTTACCATGCACAAAACATTGTGCTCGTAGCTCAAGGGAAAAGCCTTTCCCAGGGGTATATGTGTGGTCTTGTAATCTAAACACCTACTTGATGTAGTTTTGTTTGAAAGTGAGGTAACAACTAGCTGGAGTAGGCTGTTCACTGTGCCAGACATGATTCTCAAGTCTGTACAGAATGATGATGCAAGATTTGTGTGGCTCTCAGTCACCTCTTGGCTACTGCCAGAGGTGGTCCATGAGTCCATCCAGATCAGCCTGTGGCATCAGTCTCATGGCTGTGGAGGCTGGTTTTACTGACGGCAACTGCAGTGACTCCCTAAGCCTCTACCTGTGCCCCATCTGCAGCATTTCCATGGACATCCTCTGGAAAGAGTGGAGGAGCCGGTGGCACTGAACTGGCCATAGCAGCTTTATGGCACCAGGGATTCCCTTGCCTCAAGGGCAGCCCTAATCTCTCTTTGCCCTACTTCTAGCAGCACAGAGGTGTGCTGCTGGAATGATTGGTTGTCCTTAGGTTGAGAATATGGTTCAGAGCCTGGTGTGTCCTGGTGGTCTTCAGTGCTTTATAAAAATAATGCAGATCTTCAAAGCCCCTGGGTGATGTTCAGCCTTTCTCTGGGAAACACTGCCTTGATGAGAGACTGCTGTGCTGCCATGCCTGCTGGAGGAGCCTGGGGTGCCTGGGAGAGAGCTTGTCACTTATTCATGTGCCTCTTTGGCCTGCAATCCCCTTAAGTGTGACGAGGTTGCTGTGACCAGTATGTGGCTCCTGGCAGGCTAACTGGAAGCAAAGTTAACGCGGGGGAAATTCTCCCAGGAAACATAAACCAGTCGGTACCGTATGGACAGGCCCAGTTAATGTATTGAGCATATGGGAAGCCCACAAAATACAGATGGATGGGGGAAGATGAATCTCTAATAGCCCAGGAGAGAAGTAATGGCAGAGACTTTCTTTCAAGAATTCTCTTGCTTCTGTAAACATAAAAAGAAGGGAATCGGTCCAGACATGGCACAAAGGAGGTACAGCTCTTCCCAGTCAGAAGAATGAGCTTGCAGATGGCAGAGGTAGTCATAAACAGTCAAGTGGACTAGAAAATGTTCAGCATGCATGTACTCTAGCTGTGCTGTCTTTATCCACCCACCCAGGTCGCACAGCAAGAAGAGGTTATCTGTTAAGTCTGTGCAAAGCTACAGCAGAAGCCAGATGTCTCCCATACACAAACTGCTGCTTTGGCAGTGACATTAAAGGCCAGTGTTCTCATGACTTCTTTGTGCTTTTCTCCCCTTCTTTGGCAGATACTGAGCTACAGCTGAGACGTGATTCCATCTTCTGTCAGTCTTTCGTGGCTGCTATTTGCACCTTCTCAGAGCAGTTACTGGCTGCTCTCAACTATCGATACAACAACAATGGAGAGTATGAAGAGAGCAGCAGAGATGCCAGCAGAAAATGGCTGGAACAGATAGCAGCCACCGGTGTTCTACTGAACTACCAGTCTCTCCTCTCCCCTGCTGTGGTAAGATGAAGAGCTGTGCCCCCCCCTTTGGGCCCAGTCACACTTGCTGTATGCATCCCTGCCACTCAGCACAGCCAGAGCCCTTCATTCTAGCAGCATGTGCAGCCTCTCACTACAGCAACCTCTGGAGATTCCTGCTGCTGACAACTGTGTACCAATATTCCACATCCCGTCATTTTCATCTTCTTGCAAATACTGGACCCACTGTCACACTAGAACACTATAGGAATCTGCCTGCCTTCCTGTTTGAAGTAATGCTGCTGCACTTAGGGAGGTTTTACGGCTCAGCAGGTGGTGATGCATGTGTGGCCTGCCATCTCCTGGTAGAAACACACATTGCCACAAATAGGTGGAAGAGCTCTCATTATTTCAAGAGTTAAGACAACATGAAAAGCTAGGCTTTTGTTGATTCCTGTACTTGGTACCTGTATAAATGTTTAGAAAAAAGGAGCATAAAAAAAAGCAAGTAGCTTTGACATGATAGAGAAGAGACCTTTCTTTTTAAATACACAATCCAAACTCTATCCATGTGTAACTGCTATTTCTTTACATTGCATGGAATGTGTGGACGTTTATTTCACAGTGACCAGTACGCTTTTCCTTTCACATTTGTAGGTACAGAGTAAAGTTTGGAGAAAGAGATCCTTTCAAACTTACTCCTTAAACCTCTCTGCTCTCTGTGAATCCCATCAAATGACATCTCAGCAAAGAGTAGCTGAATTTGTATCACAATGTTAGAGCCATTAGTAATTACCTGGCTGGGACTGAGTTGATGGAAAGCAACACATTCTATTCTAGGTCTCCTGAACCAAAGCATGCCCAGAAAAATTCTACCTTCCTGCCATTAATCTTGCTGTAGCAGATCACAACCTGTTTATATCTGCTTCTTTGCTCTACAGAAGGAGGAGCGCACTATGCTGGAAGACATCCAGGTTGCTCTGGCTGAACTGGACAAAGTTGCCTTCTATTTCAAGCAGCTGGATGAAAGTCTTGTAGCAAGTGAGTATGCTCTGTTTCTTTGAAGCCCTCTTTTTCCTCTTTGTTTTATGGGTGAATATTCTTCATGACTAAAGTCTCTGCAGCATTGTTGCATTTTCTCAGCAAACACACAGCATAAACCACAGGACTGATATCACAGGATGTTGGTTGCATGTTCTGTGATCTGTAAGTATGGTTTGTTACCTCACCTGTGTGATTACACACGCAGGGAGGGATGAGGGAGTCTGAGCAGTTCCTGATGGATGTGTGTAATTCACCACATCACCTGAAGTAGAAGGACTGTCCCTCCCAGCCCTTCTGTGTCCCTTCCCCTCTCTTGCCACATCTCTCTCCAAGTTTTCTGACTACAAGATGCCATGAAACAAGGTGGAATTTTAATTATTAACCATGTTTATTGTATTGGTGTCAAACACCATGCCAGGTCATGCAAACTGTGTATCTTTTAAAGTGTGATATTTCAGAGCCTGCATTCTCTCAGTAAAGGCTCTTCCTTATGCATCTCATGGTGGAGATGTGAAATGTCATTAGATAACTCGGCAAGCTCAGATAGCAGTGGTTTCACATTTCTCCTGCTGTGGTAAAGCAGCCAGTGTTTTATCTTTATTTCTCCAGATACTCATGTCTTCTACCACATCGAAGGAAGTCGCCAGGCCTTGAAGGTTATCTTTTATCTTGACAGCTACTACTTCTTCAAACTGCCTTCTCGGTTTCAGAATGGGGGAAGCTTGAAACTGCACATGGTGCTCTTTACAAAAGGTGTCTATAAAAAACTTTCTTGAGAAAAATAAGCTATCTGATAATGTTAAAAGGCTCAAAATAAAGAATGACCGTAAGCTGTTAACGTAATGCAGCTGAGAACTGCAGACCTATTTAAGAAGTAGATGCTTCTATTCTAGGAAGATCTGGGGGAGATATTAGAATTAAATGCATATATAAGAACAAGATATGCCTGTTTAGGACTTTTTGTGCCTTCCTGTAACGGCCATAGGGACACTAATATGGACAATCTGATCTATTATGGTATCAGATGTTCCTAGGCTACAGAGAAGTGCTTGTCAAAGTATATACTATAGGCTAGAAGCTGGCTTGATAAGCAAATGTTTACACCAAAATACAGTACTGGAAATTTCCTTCCAGGGGTTACTATGTGGAATAATTGCTGTGAGGTGGTACTGTGTTTTGTGAAGCTCATCTTAGGATGCTACCACTATATTCCAGTACTGGGAAAAGCATTAAATTTATGCAGTAACAGAATCAGCCTTGATGTGGTCCAGCAGTCATTTGCTGAGCAGTGAGATGATATAAATAAATTACTAAAATGAAAACTCATAGGTTTAGTAAAATGTTGTCTTTTTCAGCTCTGGAGAGTACAGAGGGGCAATCACAACTGGCTGGCTCATCTCTAGAAGAACTTCCACAGCAAATTAATAGTATTTCACTTGACAAAGTGCAGCAATACTACCGTAAACTCAGGTATTTCACACTTTGCCTTTGCCGTAAAAGACACTGAAAAGAACACTCCTTGCTAAGGACCTTAACATTTAATGAAAAGGAGATTCTGTGGGTGGTGGTTTCTGTACAAATACTGGTTTTGGAGCTCCTCATTGTGTGGGAAACTTATTTTCTTCCCAGAGTTAAGCTTGTTCTGAAGCTGCACACTGTACAGGATCAAATTCCCATCTTACTGGACTTCAGAATTTTGTGCAGAGCTAAAATTACGTAAAAAAGGGGATCTGGAATATTTTAGTACAGACTCGGTAAATTACTGCTATCAAAATGGTGCTTTGGTAAGAAAGCAGATCTTGAATTACAAGATTTCTGGCATAGCCTTCCCAGCTGTTTGGTACATGATAGTATATGATGTTATATGTGTATGTGCTACAAATGAGACTCACCACCTAACAGTGTCCTTGCTGGCCTTTTTGCAGGACATTTTACCTAGAGAGATCAAACTTGCCCACTGATTCCAACACTACTGCAGTGAAGATTGACCAGGTATTGTTATTGTGTTTATTTCTACACCGCATTCTCTCACATCTCTCAGTCCAGCTGACCCATACAAACCCAAACATCCTTTAAAGAATGTTCCATACCCTAAAAAAGTGATGTGAATTTCTCCGAAGCTTGGCTACAGTTCATTTGTTTAGAAGAAACTGCAGAAGCAGGGTAGACACAAACCCCTTTACTTCGGCACTAATGAGACTCCATATTGTCCTGACTGTCCCTGCTAAAGACGGTATCTAATGTTAGACAAAACGAATTAATTGTCCTTCCCTATAGAAGAAACCTACAGGAAAATAGCACTTCCCAACATCCCATGTAAAGGCAGTCTAACTGGGGCAGGTGCCATATGTGAAGATACACTTGTAAGGCGTTAAATGCTACTGTAACGAAGACCAAAAAAAAGAGACTAGCTCTGCAGTTGTAATATGTGGTGTATAAACAGCCTATGGGAGTGGTGATAACTGCAGAAAACAGCCCCAAGCTTAAGTAATTGTATTTTTCCACTTCCAAGTTCATATATATTCTAAATAGTTGTTACTGTGTGGCAGTTACTCTGGTGTAGATGACTGTGCTTAGACATAGGATAAAGAATTGTACATGCCTTTATAACTGAAGGTGTAAGTACGCCACTGATACATTTTATTATTGCTTTGGTTTAGCTTATTCGTCCCATTAATGCAATGGATGAGCTCTGCAGGCTGATGAAGTCCTTCATTAATACAAAACCAACGCAGTCAGGATATTCCAGCAGTAACACATCAGGAGCAGGCCTGCTACCCATATCTTCTGAGCTGTGTTACCGACTTGGAGCCTGTCAGATCACCATGTGTGGCACTGGGATGCAGAGGTTTGATTTAAGAAGCCTTTCTAGTAGTGCTGAGAACTTGGTCCTTTCTAGAGATTTGAGCAATATATTTGATTCTGTGCAAAGCAATAGGAAGGTAGATCATAAGGCAATATAATAAGGACATGAAGCTACTGCCATCTTTACATTAGAGTAGGCTGTGACTTTTAATACTTAATAATTGTATTGACACACAAACTTTTTATGTTTCAGTGCATCAGCCAATGCAACTGAGTGATCTCACTGCATGTAGCTTTCAGTCCACGCTGCCTTCAATCACACCCTGAAAATGGAGAAAGTTGCTCAAAAAGACCTTTAGAATCTTGGTTCTGAGCACACCACTGCTCTTTCAGTGTCTCAAAACCACTGAGTAAAGGAAAGACTGATTTGTGAACTTTATATGAATTGATGCAGAAGAGAAGGGAAACAGGGCCTTGTAGTAACTGCAATACCTGGGTGTAACAAAGACTGGGCATGCACTAATTTCCTAAGTAAAAAACCCTAAAAAAGTAAATACAAGAACAGCAGCTAACAGAAGTTATGTACAGGACACTTACCCCTTAAGTATATCTGTTTCTAAATTTTAAATATGATCTGTGATTGAGTATCTCCTGTCCCATGTTCAGGAGTACATTGAGCGTGTCCCTGGAACAAGCAGCCATACTGGCGCGAAGTCACGGACTTCTGCCCAAGTGTATCATGCAAGCTACAGACATCATGAGGAAGCAAGTAAGTATCTGGCTGTGTGTCTGCTGCATGCCACTGCTTTCATTCCAGTATCATCGCAAAATACCAGTTCATTTCAGTGGGGTACTGCATTTTGTACACTGCAAACCCATATAGCCAAACTTCTGTAAACGTCTGAAGAGGTACACATACATTTGACAGGAACAAATTAAGTATGCATGTACAGCCATTAGAGCAATTAAAGTATAGGCCTCAGTCTACATAATTTAAAGTGTGTGTCTCAATGGTTAGAGAGGTTATGCAGCATATTCAGGACAATTTCTGTTTATAAAAAAACTAAGTCTCAGTCACAGTGTTAAATAGCAGAAATTCCCTAGTGTCAGACAGCCGTGCTTGTAAAGTGCTTTGGGACTAATTCCATCTTTTAAGTAAACACAGATGACTAATGTATCCACCCAATGGATTCCAAATCTTCTACAAGTAGTTAATGGATTCACAGATAGAAACCATACTCCCATTATAATATTTTCCCCTAAGGATCTGATGCTTTATCGATACTGCCAGTGCCATAAATCCTCTGTTTCCTTAGGGACCAAGGGTTGAAATTTCTGCCAAGAATCTGAAAGTGATGGACCAAATGCCACAGTGTGCACCTCGGTAGGTTATTATGTATCATGCTTTTTATCTGAGTGCTGGGTTTCTGTTTCTGTAACAATTGTGGAGTTTCTGTTAAAACCAAAGATCTCCTTAGGAGCAAGAGGAAAAAAGAAAAAAGTCCTGGTTTCTTTCTCACTGTACTGAGTGCACTGAAGATTATCAGCTTTGCTGCTTACCATTTGCAGATCATTAACTTCAAAGGTTTCTACATATTCTGAATAGAACATAACTGATTATAGAGAGGAGTCTTTTTTGGACTGTTGCTGTGTATTGGCAAAGCCAGTGATTGACAGCCATCTGTGGGCTGCTCAGAAAGCCAAAATCCAGAATGGCAAATCTGACTGCAGATAAGCAGACATAATTCATACGCTAACACTGTTGTGTGCTTAGCAGAGCTCAACTGTTTAGTTATAGCAGAGCAGGTTGAAGAGCGTGTGCTTTGAGACACAGCAACCCCACAGTAGCGGTCTAAAAGAGAACTTTGAAAAGCACTTCAGAGTGAGTGTATGTGGTAGTGCTGCAGTCCTCCAAAGAACATGTCACTCCAGTGTCAATAAGACTTCCTTAAACCAGTGATATCTTATTCACCTGTTAAGACTTCTGAGTTGGTCTAAGCAAGCCCCACCTCATTCCTTTTTTCCCCCATCTTTTTCAAATGTTTATAGGAAATTATTGTAAACTTTGGGGACTGGGATGCTTACTCTAATAAACAGTCTGGCCTTGCTTTTTTTAATCAGAGACCTTAAAAATAACATTTTGCATTTAGAACTTTATCCTTCTGTTGGATAAAGGGATAAAATAAAGGTCAGTGCTGGCTCCTTTGCCAGGTCCCCAGTGTCCTACATCAGCATTTTAGCAGCACAGTTCCTTTGCGTCATTAATGGCTGTACATCACTTTGGTCCATTTTTATGACCATAACAGCATGCTATGTTCAAAAAGAAACAGCTTTATAAACAAATCCTAAGACGAGGCATTTCTTTCATGTACACTCTAAATCACAATGACAAATTCCAGGACTCTGTACTTGGATTATTTCAGGGCAATAAAGCTCAGATACATGTGTTCCTAGTGGGTTCCAGTGTCATAGTGTGAAATAAAACTGAGCAAAGTTAAAAGGAAAGCTGGAGAATTCATGTTAATTCTCAGAATTATATTTCCTAGTCTTGAGGTTAGCCAAACTCTGTAGTAGCAGTCTTGAAAGAGAAGTTATGAAAGACTTGAGTTTATTCAAATGTAAAGTAGAAAAAGCCAAGAAAACCCCACCACCGCCAGTACTATCTGAATGACAGGTAAAATGTGTTTTTAGAGAAAACCTAAGCACAATTACTGATTTGAAAGTTTGTTCATGTCAACAAGCAGATGTGTTTCTGGCTGTTGGGTGGCCCAGTCTAGGAGCTTTTTTGTCCAGGAAAATGGTCATCTGGGTTTAAAGCAAAAGAAATAAAAAAAGGGCCTACTGAAGACCCATACTTGGTCAAATTGAAAGGGAGTGAGGGAAAAATAGTATAGTATTTAAGCAATGACTGTAAATACTTTAGTTAATAAATCACTAGTGGAACTTCTGAGTTTGCAATTATTAAGAATACTGGTATTCTTGATACTGGATTAGCTCTAAAGCCTATAGAATGATAAAGGAGCAGTTGTTTCTCATATACTATGCAAGTAACTTTATTTTACCATCCTTGTGATATTTAATACCGTACTAATTAGTTACTCCCATAACTAATACTGACTTCATCTGCCTTAAAGACTCTATAGGTTGTGCCAGCCACCTACAGATGGAGATTTATAAGCTGAGGAGGCACCTGCCTTGCAGCATCAATGGAGTGTTCAGCCAGGAGCAGCCCCACCTAAGGTCCCCCCACAGCACCACCAGCAATGGTGCTGAGCCCAGAGAGGAGCTGCTTCTGCTGTGGGTTAGTCGGTGATGAACCTGCTGGCCCCAGACACCAGGAACCTGCCTCTGAGCTCCTGCAGCATGTGCAGGGATTCTTGTATTTCTTTGACTTCTTGAAGAAATCCATGAAACAAATACCCCAGAGCTAAGGTGGGTGTTACTGCCGTTTCCTGGGTGCTTGGCAAAGTGACAGCTCTTTCAAGACAGTACAGGTTTACTGGTGACTTGTGTGTGCTGCCACCTCAATGTAGTGGACTTCAAGATACGGATTGGTTATGCCTCCTCTCATGCTCCCCGTACTGCATCTGGCATCCATTTAATTGCCAGCATAATTTTGGTCAGTGTTCTGGAGCAACAGCCTCAGAAACACCACTGTTTCATCGTGTGAACTGACCCGCACTTTGAATGACGAGTAGCACAATCCATGGTTTATTCAAACATGAACATCAAGAATGTCTTCTGGAGTAATTTTCCACTTCAGCCCCACGAGAAGCCATCTCCCGATGCTGCAGAGTATACATTCCATAATCCTTTCTAACATTACTTCATTTTACTTACTGTAGCTTTCAGGTTTTTGATTAACTCTTTTTACTAATGCCCTGTTATGTACTCTGGAAATACAGAACTATTTAAGAGGAGAAACTGGGAGCGAAAGATTTTAAAGGAAACTTCACAGAGAAAAAAAATCCCATCTTATAACCTGATTATTTGAACAGATGTAGTTTTTAAAACAGGTCAGAAGAACTATACTTATTTATGTGGAGTGGCATATGTGTTTTTGATCATGTTATTATATATACAAGATTTAAATAAAAATTATATTGTTTAAAATGGGACCAATATGCTGGCAGTTACACAGCTACTCCCAGTTTACTGAAAAGAAATCTACATTATTTAAAGTCTTTCAATATTTAAGTAGTCTTTAATACAGTTATTGAGATGTATTAGGGGTGCTTCTAAGTTAAAAGAAAAAAGGAATCATGTATATAATATACTTTATGTTTTTCTTGTTTGAAGCATTGTTCTCCATCCTGTCAGTATTATCCTAAGCAGAATAATTTTTCCCAAATTATTGGCTGAAACACAGTGAAACATGTCAGCAGTCTCAGGACAGACATACGGTTCTTTTGGAGTGAGTGCCTTAACACGACCGCCCAGCCCCAGGGACTTGGAATTGCAGCGGATGCAGGCCAGGGTGTGCAGGGGACTCACCATGGCTCTGGTTCTCCACAGCCTCCTTTGGAACAGTTCCAAGTCAGGACATCCCGAAGCGCTTTGCAGTGATGTACATTGTAGAAAATAAAGGTTTGGGGGTTTTATTTGTGATGTTGTTTGGTTCTTAGCTGGCTTAATTTTATTTTATTAACATCCAAGCCAAGTGAAAATCTAAAATTAGACTTTTTCCATTTGGATTGGTAGTTCTCCTGATTTTTTTATCTACACTTCAACACAAAATGGTTTGTGACAAGTTTGGAGGTGCAGATTGTTCAGAACCCTGTTTCTTCATTTTTTATCCCTTCACTCACAGACTGGTAATTCCGGGGAAGGACCATGGTTTGTTTTCAGCTCTTACTTTTACCTGTTTCCTCTGACCTAGAGCAAACCTGTTGCAGGGAGCTAGGACAACCCATCAGTCACTGGCTGTCAGAGGCAAGGGTTGTTAACCAAGTGTCTATTTGTACTGCAGCCAGAGCAGCAGGTCATTATTTCAATGCACTTTTTTGTTAATTTTGGAGGAGTTACTCTTGCCATTTGCTGTTCCAAAAAGCAATGGGTGTTTCTTTACTGAATCTTTAACTTAAAATGTAGTTAGTATTAGAAGAACTGTAGGAACCCCACAAAATGAAAAGAACACCTAGGCCAAGGTCCTTGCTTTGTTTGCATCAGTTCTGCTCAGCAGACCTGCAGCAATCTTGCAGCCTGTTCAGGATCTCAGCCCAGGCTTACACAGACACTGTAAACATTAAAGATGTGTAGCAGAGCAGCTAAGGGCATTTACACTGTGCACTGTTTTCCATTGAAATGTATGTGATAGAAGTTTTTATTATTAAAAGTTGGTTTATATTCTAAGGAAATAAGGTATGATCTTATTTTTCTGTTATACCCGTTAGTTCCTTAGCTCTAAGTTCTTCTGAACAGTTAAGTTCTGCTGTTTGCATGGAGCAATGAAGAGTTGGCAGTTTAAACTGTAAGGGAAAAGTGGGTTTTGCTGTCAGCTCAATCTGGCAGTGTAGAGCTAAACTCTTCCTGTTTGTGCAGTGTCGGCCACAGATGTGGTGTCACTGCAGACTTCCTATTAACATAGACAAGAAAAACTGTTTTGATGCTGTAATATGTCAGGGTTTGAATGCAGTGCTATTAAAAAAACAGGTTTAGGTGGAAAATGAGAGGGCAATGCACAAGCCTACCTGCAAGTGAAGAGAGTCAATAAGCACTGCAGGATTTCCATGGCCAAAAACAAAGTGAGAATCAGGCTCTCTACACCGAGCAAGTCCGATGGCAGATTTGGAGCATCTGATACACTGGAAGTATGGAAGATGTGGAAAACAGTCAGATGGAGAAAATGGAAACTAGCAGCGTGATGATGAGGTGTGTAAGCAGATGGCTAGAGGAGAGGAGGCAACACAGGAAAGAAAGAGGGGGTTGGGTGGCAGCTGCAAGTGAAATTTCTTTTTTATCAGGCTTGTAACTGAATTTGCTTAGTACCTGAAGCACAAGTACTGTGAGGCTGGGGCTGGTGTTAAGCTGGGAGGTACTCATCTGGATCCAAGTGCACACAAAGAAAACCTGGAAGACTTTTCACACTGAAGCGGATGAAATGAATGGGATGAAAGTTGACAGTACAAATATGAGTTCATGCCCTTGAAGACTGAACAAAGTATTTTGCTACATGTCTTGTAACTGATAACAGAAGAACCTTGATATAGATGACTCAGATGCAATTTGGTAGCTCAGCCTGCACTAGAAGACAGATTGCCAGTGGGGATGAAGATGATGATGAAGATTCAAGCCACTGTGCAGAGGCTAAAGAGAAACTGCAGTTGCTGGATGGTGAGGACAGATACTAAAATGGTATCAATAAAGTGGATACAGTTCTGCAAGATGAGACCAGAAAAGCTTGATTCATTAGCCAATAACTACTGATATCTTTGTAAGAAGAAAATGATGAGAAAGGTAAAGACAGTTCTATATGAACATAAATACAGCCACAAGGAAAAAAAGGAGTAGAAGCAAGCAGGGAAAAATATTGTCTTAAAATTGTTCTGGGCCTAGAAACCTTTTTTTCCCCCAATCAGGCTCTGATGAAAAAAGAAGTAACATTGACAAAGGAGCTTGCACAAGATGAAGCAGGTGGCACAGGACACTGGGCGGCCCTTCCCCATCCAGCCCCATTTGGCTACAACAGGAATTGTGCACGGGACCCACTTTGTCTGATTTTGTCCATGGCATTTGCAAAAGTATGAACTGCCATTCACATCCTGGCCTTGGCTGTCTGTTAGCAGTAGTCATTTTCATATTCCAGCAGTCATTTTCAGACTGAAAGAGTGGGATTTTTAGATCAGAAGCCACAGATTTAGACATGGATACCTCTCATTTCCATTTAGGATAAAAAACATTGGAAAGAAAAATCCACATGCACTCTTGCAAATCTTTTTTCCTCTGTCACACTGTCTTATCACCAAATAGTGCTGATTTGGGAATATTTCCTAGTTGTAAAGCCATTTTAAGATATAAACCAGAAAGCCTGAACAAGCAGAATTTCAATGTAAAGATAATTTGAACCATTCCTACAGCATGTGCATTGTTTCATCTGTCATAACCCTTGACATTATAGCTGCCTGACATGGCTTCTAAGCACCTGGCTATGGTTCACTGGTAAAAGGGCCAAAACCCCAAACTCTAACCCAACAAAGGGCTCATCAGACCAGCTTATTCAGAAATGCACATAGACATACTGGTAAGATATCACTGATTAATCAAATTGCCCAGTACAATTTGTATCTAAACCTGGTATTTGTGTAGCACAAGAGCATTCAAATATGAAGCTCAAATCTGCCATTCAGCAGAGTCCATAGTAGCTGATCATCTTAGAGGGAAGAAAAGCCTTCAAACAGCAAAAGGAATTTTACAATTCCCTTTTCCTCCCAGCTGCAGTTTGAGGAGGGAACTGGGGAACTACTTTCTTATCACTGGTATTGTGAAGATTCAAAGGAGAAAAATTATACACGGCTTTGAAAACTGTCGGTGCTTTACATATATAATACAGTTCTAATGACTTGAAAAACAGGAAACTAGATGGAAAAAAGGGCAGACATCACAACATATGTAAAACTCTCTGCTTCGAATTCCCATAAGTATATTAATTGAGAGCACTTGGTATAAAGAACAATTGAAGTACTTGCTGGGACCCATTTCAGGATTTAGAAGGACAATGCATTAATACCATGAAGGAAACTAATTTAACATTAGTTTTCATTAGCAGGGAAGAATAAACTCAAGTGAAGTTTCTTCAGACTCCCTCATCTTCAGCAGTTCCAACTCCCTGAGTTAAAGAATATCAGAATTCAGAACATAAGTAAATGTTAGGTGAATACTATTTTAAAAACATGGCCTTGGCAAGAAGATACTCAGTGTGGATTTCAGAGAAGCTCTGTTCAGGTTGTAAAGTAATTGATAATTCTTTTATCGCACAGTTTGGCATGAGGAGAATCCTGTTTATTTAAGGTCCTGCTAAATGTCAGCATATACTCTGAGAATCAGGCTGTGCTGCACAGTTGCATTCAAGCGTGCCAGAAGAAAGATCTGTTGGTAGCTGGACCCTGATCAGCTGGATGGGTTTTGCCTTTGCATTCTGAAGCCTACACTGACTTCAGAGCAGAATTGAAGACAAAGGACCTGATTATCTTAGAACAGTAAGTCTGCTGTTTGTAGTGCACCTTTCAAAGATGTCTCCAGATGAACTAAAACCATAAGATGAGATTCACTGCACTAGCACAACACTATAGAACAAACAATTCATTGCAGAGGACTGCAGAAAGGCCTTCATTTTTGCTCATTTACAAAGGGGAGGCATGGCCACAGTAGGCTGACCATTGGTTAGGCCATATTTAAAAGGCTTTTAACAGGTAACTGATGATCAGCTATAGGAGCTCAAGTAGGACTGCTACAGCATTACTGCATTTACAGCAGCTCATTTTGCACCTAAGATCAATTACCTCGTCTGGGCAGGGGGGGCAATGCTGAAATGTATAGTTTGGTTTTGCATGAAACAGAACTTCCAATGGTTTTAGGGAAATGTTACAGAAATGATATTTTTATATCAGTTTATAGGATTGGCATTTTCAAATGTTTTGTAAAAAGAAAAAGTGTACAGAATATTTGAGAGGGTTTTTCCAGTTACATTTGAGGGACTCCAGTGTACTAATAGTGTTACTGTTTTCTTCATGTTTCGGTATTTTTAACTAAGCATGTGTATCCTGCATTAAGATAAAAGTCTTAATATAATTTGTGCAACTTTTTGCGTTGTATCATCTAATCCACGTGGTTCTTTTAGTGCTACTGGGCTGTTTGGTGTGCTGTGTGCTCTGTGGTTGTCGGAGGTGAAATTAAGCCATTCAGAAAACACTGCCCAGGTGGTCACAGCAATGTGTCTGCTGTCAGACAGTATTCAGAGCACTCCTCTTAGGTGTGGAAGGTGGAGAGCTATCTGAACTGGAGACATTTCTATGGGGCTATTTAAAATACTTGGGCTATTGGTTTAAGGACCTTTTGAACTTCAAGAAGATCGAGAAAATAAGAAAACTACTTGATGTTCAAATCCTTTCTGGTTTTGTGGGATATGGGACAATTAGAAGAGCTCTTCCCTGCTGTGTACAAACTGCATTCTGCCTTTACAAGACATGAATTAAAGATCTAGATCTCTTTCCCTTCCTCTGCAAAAAGAAAGACAAAAAACTGGAGCCAGGAAATGCATTGCTGCCTAGCTGTGCACCTGAAATGGGTCCCGAATTTCCCCTCAGAGCATTAAAACTCAGCTTTGTATGCTCCTACACTTGTTCACAATCCCCAGAATGGTTACAACTATCATTTCCATTATGTATGTGTTGTATCACTGCATCCAGCAGTTAGAGTGAGGAAGTTCCGCACAGCCAGCCAGGCATACCTGATCACCTTACTCTACCCTTTGATGATACAACCAGCTTGTCAGAGCTATCAGCTGTCTTTAAAAGGGGAACTATTAATTTTTCCAGTATCCAGGGGCTTACACTGGGGTAGACTTCCCATTCACTGAAAGAATCAACCAAAGAGATTACATATCCATACCTGAAAGGGTTCAACAGGTTTCTAAGGAAGAAAAGAATAATATAAGAGTTAAATCCATTCATGCCCCTGATCAAGATACTATGATTTGGGCTTCCTTCTATTCATAGCAAAAGAGTTTAACAAGTCAAAGGAGAGATTCAAGAACAGTTTTGTTTGTAGCTTCCTGTGCAGTGAAAACTGATCCTCTGGTTTATCCTTTTATTGCATATGGAGATATGTTAAGGTTTAGTTCTCAGCCAAAATCACCCTGTTAAATTCCCTGAATCCCCAAAGTGTAGTAGCCTGAACATTGTTATAAAGCGAGGACGAGCCTCTTTAAGTTTTTAACCGTGGTTTGATCTCCGCTTCACTTGTAAGAAACTTCAAGAGGTGCTACTCAGTACCTCCTGAACAAAAGGCCTGCTTCCGCCTTGAAAGAGTTGAATACGTGGCACCAGGACAGAAACTAAAGAGAAACAAACTAAGCCAACATGCCATAGATAGTAGCAATAATGTTTCATGCTGGAGAAAAAGAGATCAGAGAATAAGGCAGTTAGTGCATGTCTCACCCTTCTCCCTAACAAGCAATGCAGCACTGTGGTCATGCCTCAAGTCTGAGGAGATATTGCTCTATTTCAGAGGCTACTTCTACATAGGAGGAAGAAGATAATCAAAAAATAAGGTAAATGAGCATAAGGAATCTGAATTAAGAAACAGAGACCTCAACTGATAAGCTTTACTTCCTGAGAGTAAGGCAGGTCATGAAAGGGACACTGAAGCAGTCTTACAGACAGAGTGCAGTAAGATCCCTAGCCCAGTATTCCTGAACACTCCAAGAGCCCAACATTTCTCATGTCAGTAATCAGCATCATTTTTTATAAAGTTCCTGTCCTTTCCCTGGTAAATCTGACTGGCTTTCTTTCCAGCCTGCTTTCTCCTTTGATCCTAATCACCTGGGCAATCAGCTATCACTAGAAAAGGAATTAACTGCCTGCTTACTGGAAATCAATTGAGATCTCTGCATTTTTCCATTTACTGTTCAGGCGAGATGAGGGGCATGGACTGGGACTGTGCCAGTTCTTTTCCTTAGAATCTTTACAGCATGTTCATTAGGTTGGACTCATACACTGTCCTGAGCAAAGAACAGCACCAGGGAATCTTCAAACAAGAACATGTGTTGGTACTCCCAGTACTAATCCCATCCATGGCTTACATTGAAGTGATGAGAACTAGAATTCTGCTGCCTGAGAACAACAGGGCAAAAGAGTAAATAGTCCCTGTTCAAGCAACAGGTACTATTTTTAGGTCTCTGACACCTCTTTCTCCTTGTACAGCCACCAGTAGCAGTGGCTCATGCTGCTGCTGCTGTTTAGAGTGCCAGGGACCGATGCTGAAGCCCTGCTGACAAAGTGCACACTGCGCTTGCTGTCTGCTCTCAGCTCACCAGCTGCTGCCATCAGCTGCAGGGAGACAGCTGCAGCCCAGCCAGGCCAGGGCACCCCGGGGACCACCAGCTTCCAAACTGGCCCTGTAGGGAAACCTGGGATTTAAATCTGCCAGGACAGGTGCTGCCACCTCCTGCAGGCACAAGTACATAGGAAAGCTGGGAGGAAGACACAGAACTTGTGCTCTTTGCCCAGCCTCCACCTGTGTACTACATTATGATAGGCAGTTTTTGCTACAGCTGACATATGGCCTTAATCATCAGTGTTACTCCCAATTTTCTTTTTTTTAATAGTCGTCCTGTGCTCATCAAAAAGCTGGAGTGCTCTGCAGTGATTAACTGTCTCCATCTTACAGATAGCTTTCTATTAAAATAAATGTCTGTCTTGTATGGGTTGTTCTGTTTTACACTGACAATTTAATGAACATAACATGACTTCCCCCTGCTAAGCAATAAATAACAGGTACTCCAGGCTTATCCATTGCTATCTATACAGCTCCAATAAAACACACACTGTTTCAGGTCACTGCAGTTGAGAGAAAGGTAATGTTTGGACAATGTGTTTGCTGCATTGAACATCTCGGTTCCTACTTTCAGTTGTGTTCCCTTTATCTCAAGGCCTAGTGAATGGCTGACAGCATTATGAGTGAATACAAAATAATATGTTCTCTATGGAACAAAAAGAATAAAGATTACCTTTTTTGCTGGTTTTCCTTCACAATTTAAATGATTCCTTGTTGAAACTATAGTTCTGTTGATTCTTCAGTCCTGGAAGCTGCGCCCAGCTCTGCCACAATTAAGATGGATTTTCTGAGGACCAAAAAGATGAGAAGGGTGAAATTAAGTATGATAATGTGGGCTAAACAGGAAATATTCCTACAAGTATGAATGGAATTCTTACTCATTTGCATGGTGAGACACTGGAACATGTTGCCCCATCCTTGGCAGTGTTCAAGGCCAGGCTGGACAGGGCTTGAACCAACCTGGTCTAGTGGGAAGTGTCCCTGCTCAGGCACGGGTTGGAACTGGATGAGCTTTAAGGTCCCTTCCAACCCAAACTATTCTGTATTTCTATAAAATATTGATAAAATGATAGCAGAGTCCCTTAGGTAGAGTCCTGATCACCTGGGACTTAAAAAGCACACAACCTGACTGAACAAAATTGAGCTATTGAATTACTTAGCTTGGAGAAGAGAAGGCTGCGTGGAGACCTTATAGCAGCCTTCCAGTATCTGAAGGGGGCCTATAGGGATGCTGGGGATGGACTCTTCATTAGGGACTGTAGTGATAGGACAAGGGGTAATGGGTTAAAACTTAAACAGGGGAAGTTTAGATTGGATATAAGGAAGAAATTCTTTCCCTTTAGGGTGGTGAGGCACTGGAATGGGTTGCCCAGGGAGGTTGTGAATGCTCCGCCTTGGGTGGCAGGATTTAGTGCGAGGTGACCCTGCCCACGGCAGGGAGATTGGAACTTGATGATCTTAAGGTCCTTTCCAACCCTAACTATTCTATGATTCTACCTACAGGAACAAGAGGTTAAACCCATGGGTTATACCAGTCAGTATGTTACAGGATCGTTATAATAATCCCACTGGGGTTTAAGATCTACTAATATTAAAAAAAAAATATTGATATATTAATGTATTTTTTTCTTAATCTATCATATAGAACCACTTAACCATTGGGTTAAACTCTTTATAGTTATATAGCGAAAGGGCAGACCTTTCCCAAAGGAAACTGCAATCCAGAACTTGATCAAGTTTTTGGAGGGTGGTGGCATTTGCCCCAGCTCCTACCACAGGAGGCCAGCTAGTGTAGACAAACCAGACAAAAAGAAAACCAACAAACCCAGGCCTACAGTTGTTAGGCTGCACATTCCAGGACCAAACCCTGAACAAATGGCTCAGATTCTCTATTTCCAGCTTGATTGGAAAGAAACCGTAAACCTGATCCTGACACTTCTAAGCTGACCTTAACCATTGCCTATCCTGCTCCAGTTTGTCTCAACCAAGGTGCTGGTGCTTTAAGGAACTCTCCAATTGCCAGTAATTAAAGGTAGTTAGCACCTCCCTGGCTAGTGTGAACAGCAAAGGGTTACAACTACTTTTCCAGTCAACCTGGAGCAGCCAAGCTGCTCTAAATAGAGCTGTTTTTCCTAAGAACTCAAAGCTCTCTTGGAGCTCTTTACCAATCCCTTCTGGTACTCATGATTCACTGTTTGAAAAATACTTCTCCATGCCAAAATAATGACTCATTTTGTAAAATGTCAATTAATGCCCTGCAGAGTCTGCAAAAAATAAAAAAAGGTCTGTTTTTAATGAATTAGGAATAAAATTAGTAATTAATGTTTGAATCCAGTGATTATTTTCTTGATCCTGCTTAAAATTAAATTTGGTTGCAAGCACTTTGAAGGCAATGAGCAAAGACTCATTATTATTTAATCAGCTTTAAATGACTTACATAATTACTTACATCAGTGACGTATTTTCATCTTGAGATAATTAAAAATAATTAGTATGGCTTTATCCCAGTTTTAATGTGCAAAATCAAATTCGTATTATTAGTGGGGCTTGAATACTTGCTTTTTTGATGGAATTTATCTGGAAATTATTGCACAGAAGTTAATGAAGCTATCACACAAATGCAGCGCTTGGAATGGACGCATCATTTATTTCTGATCCCACGTGAACTCAGTTCTGTTTTATTTTAGAGGAGATTTTAATAAAGTTTTGTGAAATAGAAACAATTTTATAGCTAGTGCAACACAGTGTCTTGCTCCAAGAAATAAGAAGCTTTGGGTCCTATTCTGTTCCTACTCTGGTGTAAATCAAATGTAGATTCCCTAAATTTGGTGGAATCACAATGCTATAGAGCATACATAACCCAAACCCAGCAACAACCAACAGGCTTGAGCTGAGCTACCTGAAAGGCTTTGTGCTTAAGTAGGAAGTCAAGATTAGGAAAATAGTGGAAGCATTTTTACCTTTTAAAGCAATCTAACTTTAAAAGGCAATTTAGTTGCCTTTAAAAGCAGTTTAACAGATAAAAAGGAGGAGCCAATATAATGGAATTAGCCAGAAGTACTTTATGGACTACATTTATTACCATATCTCATTAGAGAATTACAGGAGGGTTTTGAGATGCAGTCTAGACCATGGCTGTGGTTCCCTTATTTTTATAAAGAGGAGATAATTACAAAGTTCGGAACAGAAGTTTGCCAGCTCTTAGAATCTTGGGGGTTTCACACCTACTTCTTAAACAATCCTTATTTACCAACATCCTCCTCTAGCTTTAGAGGTTAGTGAGGGCCTCAGCTGGATTTCTACCACCAGGTAGTCAACATAGGGCTGTATTTAGTGGTACTCTCATATTTCATCTTGTATTACACATACTTTTGACCATACTACTCTCCCCAGAGATGCTGCAGTGAAATAAACAGTTTCTTCCCTTGCTCACTAAGGATATTATCTCTACTGCCAGGCCTTGGAAGGGCTCTCACCTCCCAGTCTGTGGCTGCCAGCTCTGGGATACAGCACATGCTGTATCTGCTTCTCCTCTAACTCAAGTTCCTGACTAGCTTCCAATAATATTGAAATGTACTGATGCCCACAGCATCTCTCTTAAGTAAGAAACACTGCTTCTCGACTGCACAACTGGGAAATGACAACAAGAGCTCAGAGACTTCGTTTCAACTGAAATGTCTGCATTAGAATTGTCAAATGACAAAAAGTAGTTTTCACACTGGATAGGTGTGACCAGCACTGCACTTCTCAGATCTGTCTTGGGGCCTGCCAGGACTTGTTCACTGATGATTTGAAAAAAGGGATAAATAGGCTTGTGAAAAAAATTCAACTTAGAAAATGTTTTTCTGAGTAACAAAATCCAAGGGCAAGTGAACAGAGCTGCAACAGAGCATTGCAGGAATAAGCGGCTCAAGTGATTAAATGGCAATTAAAATTCACCATCAATAACTGCAGAGTACTGGTCACACAAAAAAAAAGTGATGAGGCACTGGATGTACAAAGTCAGGTTTTAAATGTGGACCACTGCCTGGAAAGTTTAGCTCAGAATTCCATGGCAATCATAGTGAAACTAGAACAATAGAGCATTGGAAAAGAAACCGTAGCAGAAAACCTCACTAATTGCAAGGTGCCCTGAAACTTAAGCAGTACAAGAACTGTTCTTATGGTTGAGGCCTCCAAACTCTTTTGAAGAACCCTGAGAACCTGCATGCAAGCAGTATGCCCAGTGCCATACAAGAAGTTTCTCTTGCAGCATGGAAATAACTGTGTTTCACAGGAGCCTAGGCTTTCTCCTTACTTTATATTCTGTGACTGTTCCTCCTGCTCTTCCTTTCTGTATACACCCCAAGAAAGCTTCTTGTTAAGCAGCTCTGGGCTTCTCCCTCCATCAAGTGAGTTTCCTTTAGTTTGTAGGTTTCTCCCCATGAAAAAATGTCAGCAATACTGTTTAGAATCTGCATTAACCTTATAGTTAAGACCAGAGTCTGATCTCAAAGAGATGAAAAAAAGCCATAGGAAGCCACCTATTTTTAGCTTCTTTCCTCATTACTAGATAAGGTTTATTCATGGATAAATATAAATTCTAAAAACCATTAAATCTCACAGAAATACCTGTATTTAGCAGCAGTAAGTAAAAACACTGCTGGTTTCAACAGCCTGTTTCAGACAGAAAAACAGTCAGGGGGAAAGAATTTATGACAAGTAGCCACAACTTACAAAACCACAGTCCCACTTAGTATATCCTCTTTTTGATAAAGGTTCCAGGAAACTTCCCAATTTTCAATTAGTAATGGAATTAAAGCCACAAGTCCAGCATACCTCTGCATTAGCAATCCATAGCAACTACAGGGCGTGTGCATTTACTGGCTGATAAATAACCATTGCATGGGAAGAAATATAGAGGAGGTAAATTACACGGCAAGAGAGCAAAGGAAAGAATAAGACTCATCTCTTTCTCAGCCTGAAACAACTTCTGCTGGGCCAAGCCACCTTGCTTATGGCTTCTAGTAAGTTGCTGGTTGTCAGCACACAGTCTGTGCAGGCAGTTTCTCCTCCTTAACCAGCCAGCTACTAGCTAAGCACCAAAGCTGTGTTCTTATCACAGTTGGAAACATACTTCTGAATTCCTGTTTAAGGAATTCATAAAAGGACACAAGCACTGTTCCAAATTAATGCCTTACTAGATGTGAATTTGCACTGTCAAGATTTTGAAAAATGGTAGGGGCTGCAGAATTAAAACTAAACAACCTTATTAATCAAAGACATTTCCAGCATCTCTTTACAATTACGCTGTCCATACCTAAAGCTGAAAGGAGAATGCATTAAGAATACTAGGCTAAGTTTTCAATATTGGCTGAAGTAGTTGGATCCCCTAAAGAGAGAAAAGAAGTAAATATTGAGATAGCTCCACCAGGATAAATTGGATGGGTTTGATGGTAGGACATTTCAAAAGATTAATCCCTGTAGCTATACACACACACATAAAATAATGAGTTTTCTGAAAGAGATACATAGAGAACTTAGCTTTCCTATGCAGAAAGATTCAACAGACCCTGTAATGACAAAGCAGGCCAGTTAGTTGTAACTGCTTTAAACTGGTCTTCCTGGCGATACTCTTTACTGCAGCTGACACTGACACTCAAATAGGTATGAAATTGTTTCTCACCTTTGAAAGCCACCAGAAATGAAGGAAATCCCTTCCAGGCTTGCTCTCTCCAAATAAATTTTCCCCACTTATGAGTAAGAAGCAAATAATCCAGGAACCACAGGAAATAGGTTTTGGAAAGC